CCAGAGTCCAGATAGAGTGAAGAGTCAGTGGGTTCCAAACAGTGAACCGTTGTTTCTCTCTTGGGATGGCAGCGACTAAAGTATGTAGTTAACTGTATTTCTAGTCCCTCAGGGTTGTGGTTGTGCGCTGTTATTATGTAATAACTTACAGTCTTCCTTATAGAACTCTTGACATCTGGCGTCTGCGTTCTTTTCTGTTGTTTTCGTGTCATTTGGTTCAGTCACATGTCAACATGTTTAGGACGATGTAGCTGCTCACGGCATGTGTCATCTCCTCTGTAACTCAGACGGGTTGTGTAGGAGGTGAAGCGGTTAAAAATTTGGAATTTTTGCCAAACTAACAGCATCCAATTATGTTTAAGGCACAAAGGGCACATTATCCCTCACATCTGTTGCTCAAATGTGATGCATGTTGTACGTTAAGTGCAGAAAATTCTCATTTTAAATCAGACCAACTGCTTACGCACTGGTGTTAGTTGTCACTGCTAACCTGCACGCCCAGTTTTCCTGGTTGTGCAGAAATTAACACTGCATACCTGCAAGATGCAATAAGCACAAGCATGCTATTGTCCTCGTTTCTCTGCTGTGTGGTCAGACAGAAACATGCACAAACATCCACATGCACTCATGCATTGATGTCATGTAGGAAGTCAGAGGGTCTCCATGCGAGACGCAATGAGGTATTCTAGAGGGTTATTTCCTCTCTGTGGAGTGTATACAGTTGGTACGGCGCACATGTAAACAAACACACATGTTTATATGCTATACTTGAGGACCACCATTGACGTCACACATTCCCCACCCCGCCAAAAAAAAAAAAAAAAAGCAGAGGCTCAGTTCTCTCTCTCTGCCCACTTCATCCAACCCCCAACCATCTGAAGGCCAGAGGCACATTCCTCAGCCTTGTTCCCACTGAGATGTAAAGGTGTGTGTGTGTGTGAGAGAGAGACTGAAAGAGGGAGAAAGGAAAATGCCCTTTTGAAGCAGGGTCAGAGGTTTGGTGGTTGTAAAGTTTAGACGATGAAGCAGCAGCCACGACTTGGTGACAAAGTTGATTGCATCTGTAAAAGCAGTAGTTTTTGACATGTTGAAGGACGTTTTTTTATTTCTGCTTTTTCAATGATACCAGTCTTTAAATGAAACAATCTGGTTATGTAACTTTAACATATTTATTCCAACATAAGTCGGCCGTCGCTCTGTTGGTCTGTAAATCTGAGACATGAATAAACTTGTGCATAGATGGACCCACCAGCTTTGGAGTAGGCATCATACAAGTTTAAAATAGTTATAAAATTCACATTTCTCACTGCTGTTATTGCAGTTGTTGCTTATTCATAACTGAGTGAGTTTAGCAGACCGCTGTAGTTCACTTCTCACCTCTCCTTGATGCTACAGCAGCAGCTCGAGGCCACATTCGACATTAGCATAAGACCTGTATCTCCAATCTAGCTTTCAGCGGTCCAGTTGCATTGTGGGTAGTGAGGGGAGCCAAGTTTTGACAAGGAAGAATGCTTGGAATAGAAAAAGATAATATATCTTGTTTCGGCAGTGTCACAGATGTGGAATGATAAATTGCTGTTACAAGAAGATGAGAGGAGTCGCAGCGTTTGGCTTCTGCTGCGTGTTGCCAAGATGATCCTGTCAGTTGTCTGTTATTCTTCCCCTCATGTTGAGTCTGTGTGGGTTTAGCGTACTCACAAGAATTCAGTTGGAGTCTGCCGTTCTGTGTGGTTTTTCATATGGCACTTCATGATGCTGTTTTGTTTTTCTTTTTTCGGGCATATTTGCTCTGAGGCGGTAGCGGTGCAGTCGAGACAGGAAATATGAGGGAAAGAGAGCAGGAGAATGACAGACAATAAAGGGCGGGCAGGCTGGGAATTAAACCCAAGACTCGCTGCTGTTGATGTTTGTGTCCATGTGGTATGTCCCCGAACCACTTGGCTATCAGGTCACCCTAGATTGCGTGTTCGTCTAAAACCGCGGCTTCTAATTATTGTTAAACATGGCAGTAATATATATTAGCATTCTGAACCCCAAAACCTACTGCCAGGTTTGATGGCAGTGTTGTTTAGAATAGAATAGAATAGAATAGAATAGAATAGAATAGAATAGAAAAATACTTTATTTATCCCAGTTTGGGATATTACTGTGGTACAGCAGCAAGAGAAAAACACCAATCCCAACAGAAAAAGAGCCAAAGTTAAATACTATTTAAAAAAATTAAAAATGAAAATAAGTGAATAAAATAAAATAAATAAAACAACTGTACAAAATGTGCAAATTGAAAAAACAGTGCAAAGACAGAGGGTTTTACAGAGCAGAGAGCTGAGAGCGCTGAGAACTGCTTTAAAAGAAAAAAATGCAAAATTGACACCATTTTCCACATCCAAAAGCTGTAAAAACAGAAAAAATCATTGGATTTTCAACTTTCTGATGGTCCTTGAACTATTCATCTGTGACACACTGTTAAGTCATAACCACATCTAAGCAGAAAATTGTGATATTTCATAAAAATCTCTTTATTCTTTGCATCATTAAAAAACAAAAAAACAAAACAAAACAACATTCTATATAAAACAAAAAATGATGCACTCCTCAGCATAAACATAACATTTAGAAATTTCCCTGAGGAAGGGATTAATAACGTTTTATTCTAATTCTAACCATGAAGCCAGTAGTGACTCAGCTCACTTGACAAAAATTCAAGGACAGTATGTGGCTGATCATCATAAAATATCAAAGTCCAAAATCATTTCCTACATAACCTATAGTACAACAGCCTGCTTATTGTCATACAATAATATCAGAATCCGGGGTTTTGTCATAACGAAATTCCCCGAAATTGGTTCCAGGAATAACTTTTGCCCATTCAAAGTCATGGTCAACCGATCGTTACGGCTCACGGGCTGAGCGTCGGTCATGCGTGGCAGATTATCACACCCTGGTCAGCCTCAGAAGGAAATGTGTTTGTTTGTCAATTACCTGCTCACCTGAGATTTGCTTCACTGAGGTATTCACACACTTTCTGTCCATCTTGAAGCCCGCTTGTTGGAATATCCTGGTTCTAGTCATAATTCCATCCTGGACCGAGGGTGTGTTCATGAACAGGCAGCCTTTAGTAAAATATCGATGGTAAACAGCTTTTTTTCAGCATTTGTAACACTTGAGGGCACTTCAGAAAAGGTTTTACATGTTGGTTGCAGGTTTCTTTAGTTTTTGTAAAATGAGTTATGAAAGAAATGTAACTTTTGATTATATTTTTCAACGATTTAGACATGATAAATCAGTCATACTGCACAGAAGATATATTTAAGTTCCCTCTACTTCTATCCAAGGTTGTTCTGTTTCCAAAAAAAAGAAAGAAACTGCTTGAGGTTCACTAGTTGAAAAAACTGGTACCAGCAACCAAATAGTGTACAGAACTTTTTGTTCTTTAAACGAGATGACAGAAGACCAACAAACAGCACCTATAGCCGTGACCCTGATATATGCGCTACCTATTGAAATGCGACCCCAGACAGCGAGTTTGTTGAGTCTGACGGCGTTGTCGCAGCGAGTCGAAGTGTTGGCAGAGCAGTGAAAGTGTCTGGTGTCTCACCGTTTACTGCTGAGGCTTGTTAACTGACTGACTGATGGTTTGATGGCAGGAGGAGACGTCCTGTTGACTCACACTGTAGGTTAGTCTGGTGGGGGGGCACTTCGGCTTCCCTGGAACTCTATTTGTCAGTCGCACACACACAGAAGGGAGTCGTAGCGTACTGCGATGAGTGTACGTTGCTGTGAGCCTCATCTGTTTGTTCAGATGTTTTCCCACAGCTGCTGTAGAGCATGAAGGCATCATCAGACCCCACCGGGCTGTTTAGTCTGTGGTGTTTCTGCAGGTCACTGGGTGGACGATTGCACACAGAGATACACACAATGGTCCATTTTTCACCAAGATGAGCAACTGTTCAGAAAGATTTTCTCACCAAGTTTTGTCAATCACTCTGATATTCTTTTAATCACTTACTCCATTATTGATCTTTTTTTATCCAATAATCAATGCATCATCTTTTGTATGCCACGTTTTTGCAGGAAGGAAACACAAAGTCATACGACCTGACAGTTTCAAGTTCCTAAAAGTAGTGCAGCACAGACTTCTATTTTTTAAATTATTTGTTTTCTTGGAATGTCTCCAGTTTTTTTACTCTTACATTCATGCCATTGAACGTGTGGTACCGACCACAGACACACATCCGTGTAGTGTTCGGCCACAGAATCCCATCAGTCAGCATTCACAACATACTCTCTCTCACACAAGGATGAGCATCATGTGTTTGGTGCCATGTGAGTCACTCTATGGTTTGGCTGTTTTGTTGCCTACCATATAGACACTGAATAATCTGTTTGCTTCCCTTTACTGCTCAGAATTCTTGGAACTCTGTCTTAGTTTAGCCGTAGTGGCACTATGTGTTTTTTGGTCCCTTTGTTTCCACGGTTGTTCAGCGAGTGTGAGAAGCTTCCTTTCCTGTTTTGTTTTTAAAGGTTTTTAATCGCTGTCCTGTGAATCTTGGATGTTTTGGCGACAGCTGGGACAGACAACACAATGCGTTTATCTTCGGTGCACATGGGGAACTTGCCACATTGAGACTTGCAAAATCTCAGCAGTGGTCATAGTGTGTCATTTTTGTTGTTTCATTCACTTTCTTTCTTACATATTGATATTGTCCATTTGAATTTGATGTTAGCCACCTTTTAATATAGCGCATAGTTAAAGAAATGTAGAAAAATGTCACATTGCCACACCCTGCAAAGAAGTTTAAGTGCTAAAAAATGCCCTCTAGAGAAGTGAAACTCTTGATTTCATAGGATTAGTTGAAAGAATGAAAGAAAAAATGTCTTTTATTTACTTCTTCTATGAACCTAAAATAGAAGAAGTAAAATACAAGAATCAGTTAAAGAGGCCTCCTCCTATTTTTGCATGTTTAAGTTAAAGTTGTCTTTATTTCTGTCTTTCTTAGGCCAAAAACAAGGAAACAGGAGTTCTGGCTGCAGCCAAAGTGATCGAGACAAAATGTGAGGAAGAGCTGGAGGACTACATGGTCGAGATCGACATCCTGGCTAAATGTGACCACCGCTACATTGTGAAGCTGCTCGACGCTTTTTACCATGACAACAAACTCTGGGTAGGTGAAGCCAACCAGCTGTAGGTGGAAACCACAGACTTGTCACCTCTGCTCTGTTTTCTGTTTCCTGTGACCTTTGCCTATAACGCTTTCATTCACACGATTAAACATTGTTAAGTCAGAAACAAAAAAAGTGCAATAATCAAATAATAAACTCACATTGAGATGGGCTGAGAATAGGCTGACATTCTAAATATTGCTACAGATGTTTGTCCAGAGCTCACACAGTTCATTTAAATGAGCAGACAGCTTGCTTCTGCATAGGAACGCTGTGGTCTGGGGAGCTGTTTTGTTAGATACCAAAGGAGCCTCATCTTCTGTCTTCACAAGATATTTTGTTTTCACTGTCTTGTGGAGTTTCTGTGTCCATCAAGTCAGTTTTCTTTGCAGCTTTTCCAAACAGAACCACAACACACAAACCTGAACTCCCAGCAGGCAAGTGGAACAACAAACCTGTTAACCATGTACACTGGCAGACTCGTGGGATGCTCAGGTTCACCCTGTGACGGTCTTGTTGTTTTATTGCAACGATATCTCATCTTGAGCATCCATATTTCTCCTGCGTACGAAAGCTCTGCTGAAAGATGATGATAAGAAAAGTGGATTGCCTAAGTGGGAATGACAGAAGCCCCCCAGGGTGACATAATGCTTTAGAAATGACCCCGTCTTCACCCTGATGTTACTGCAAGAATGAAGATCGATTTCATTTCGGCGTTCTCCGCTCTTGAGTTATTTTTCCTCTCCACACTCGCACACTGGGTCAAGTGTAAACTTTTCAACTCTCTGTAATCTCTCACTCCATCTAGCCAAGACAAATAGTAGTGACCTCATGCTGGGCCACGACCTGGAATATTTGAGGAATTACAAGACAGCGTTAAGACTAAAGATAGTTGTTGTTTTCTTTATTCCTTACCCCTCCATGAGTGATGTTACTATAAACACAAAATGCAGAAATTAGATTTCACTTGTGTGTTTTTACATTGAAATATATGTAGGAAGACTGTTTTTCTTTTGTTGCTCAGTGTTTTCTCAGTATTCAGTTATCAAAACTGCAGTAAGTGCATCGTCAATTTTGTAATCCAGAACATTTTAAGTCCTGGCTGATTTGGTTTCCATAGTAACAGCAAGTTAGATTTTTAAAATAAGAGCAAACGTTTGTTCAAGAGTTCAGTCAGTGAGATTTGCAATCCCAATCGGATTCACTGGTAGTTTTCCACACAACAGCATGACATAACAAAGTATCCCTTTTTGTTCCATCATCCTGTTTAAAAAATGGAAATCCTTTGACAAAGACTTTCTGGAAATGATGAGTGTGTCGATTCATCGGCGCTACTTTTTGACAAACACTTAGTCTGCACTAACTGCATTTCCTGTGATTGCTGCACTGTAAATTCCAGCTGAATGCTTTTCATGTGATGTGGAGGGCAGCAACTTCAATCCAGTTATGACACCTTATATGGAGAGAAAACCATGAGGCTGTGACATATAAATGTGATGGAATATATCCATGCAAGTAACAAACAATATACCGGGAATCCCTTGTGTTTGGTCGTCAGTCTGATTCCAGTGTGGGGTGGTGGAATCCAGTAAACCAACCAGTAAACACAACTCTATAGAGAGATCATTAATTGGTGGGTCATTACTTCTCAAATGATCCAATTTGTGGAACATCTCTCATTTACTTGAAACCCTTTTTTTGTTTTAAATCAAAAACTTTGGATATTTAAAATGGCATCCAGGAAATTTTTGCTTGATATGATGCATTTCTTAAAAAATTGCCCATCGACCCACTTTTAGCGTGTTTTTCGCACATTTGAAATTGGAAGTCAGGTTTGGATGACAATATCTCAGGAATTATTAAATAAAAAAGCCTTAAATTTTCACTGTTATTTCTCATCATGGCATTGATTCATAATCTGCAATACTGGAAAAGTAGCTCAAATAATCTCTGATCATGGGTCAATAGAAATATGAAAAAAATAAAAATAAAATCGAAGCCGCCATGAAAAGTCCTATCGGTGAGCACATATCACCAAACAAACTGATGATATAGAAGTTAACTAGTGAAATTTTATGAGCCGCTTGTAGTTGCATATCACAGTAACAAAACATATAGAATACTTTTAAATATGAAAATTTTGGTCACAAAATGAATGTTTGATATCAAGCTAAAATTTCTTAGATGCCACTTTAAATGATGATAGTTTATGTCAAAAAAATGTTCAAGTGTATCAGAGGTGGTTTAGCAGGAGGCCCCTGAGGATTTGAGATGGAATAACCCAGTTGTCAAACAAAGTGACTGTTCCAGAAGAAGTGCGGGCAAGAAAGTCATATCGCAAATGGGATCTCGGTTTGTGAATGTCCACAAACTATAATGAACTGCAGGAACGGTAAAAATGATCAAATACAGCACAAACCTGACACACCTGGAGCCTGACAGGCTTCCTCTAACTAGTCCTGCCCTGGGTTTTGCCTCCCCACACACACACACACACACACACACACAGCTGTATCACAGTCACAGAGCTGGCCACAGCTGTGTCGGCCATAGCTGGAATTCCTGAGGGTGGAAGGTGAACGTTCCCCATCAGTCAAAGCAGGACTGTGTGAGACTGTTAGTTTATGCTGATAAGTCAAATGTACAAACATCCCTGCCTGTTGCCTTCACACCACATGCTCTCTGTGGCTTCAGAGTCGCAGCGCCTGCCTCGCTATCTCACGTCTGAGCATTTAGATCTTGCACATTTTTGCACTCCTGATACACTAGTGTAGAAACTTGCCACCAAATGAACATGAAGTCTTTGCGAGCTGACAAAGTGAACAGTGTCTGCACATCATTTGCTGCGTGTGCGTTAGCCTCAGGATCCCAACAATTAGCCCGGTGGTTGGTGGTCAAGCCTCAGCAACCTGCGGTTCGGTGGACCGGGCAGGGCGAGTCGATGCATTCCTGCGTCGACCCGCCCGTTCTTGCTTTTTGCTGAGCACGAGAGGGGATGGAGGGGAGGAAGAAGACAGTGAGAGAAAGGCTGTTTGTTCCGCTTCAGGAACAATCTGGTCTTGAGGGCTCGCGAGGCAGCCAGGCCCGCAGCGTGAGAAAAAGAGGCCCTTTAACATGGGGGACGGGACTGCTGACATCAGCACGCTGGGAAGAACTGAACAGTGAGAGACAGAAGGGGAGAGCAGTTAGACAGATGGACAACAATGCAATAAACACAGAGGAGGACGCATTATTTAGTCTGTTTAATCCAAATCACAAAGAACACAGTCTTACGAGCATATGTAGCCATCAGTTGGAAAAAACTGAGATATCCCTCCTTGAAATGTCTGCTTTATTCCACAGGGACCGTTTCTCCAGTGGAAAACTTTGGAATATTTTTAGTAATGTGTACAACAATTCTGATGTTTTCATGATTGATTTTGTAATATATTTTCCGTGCTTTGAGCTCCACAAACAAGCGAAAATTCCATCAACCCTTATTGCATTTGGGAGGAAGCTGAAGATGTATGTCTCATATTCTGAGGGGAAAAGCTTTTTAACTGTCTGCAAAGAGTAAATAGGAAAATATGGTATCGAGCCAAAGTTTGATGAGTCAACTAGTTTATGATGATAATAATAATAAGATTAAAATTTTATTTATATAGCACCTTTTAATAATAATAGTCATAATAGTAGAGAAATAAAATAAATACATAAATAAATGATAAGAAATAATAAAATGAATGCTAAAATAGAGTTTTAAAAAATCAAATACATGATTGAAATAGACGATAATAATAACAACAACAACAGCAATCACTGTAAGAGTCTTTATCAATCATTTTCGGTGTACAGCAGCAATTAAATCAACATCAGGAGAGCAAGCTGTGTCTGTATATATGATAGAACTCTTACTACAAAGTTTCTTGGTTCTTTTGCACACACCAGGACAAGGACTGTCGTATGATTATTTAATATTTGCCACTATTTACACACACTGAAACTCCACACAATGGCACCGTCTCTGGTCGCTAGGAGACTTTGGATGACACTGGAAAGCCTCGGTACAAGTCGTTGTGTTTGTTGGCACCGCCTCACGCTCTCAGACACACTCAAGTGCACACACACAGATCACTGAGGCATTAGTCACTTTAATAGAGTGACAAAGTATAAACAGTGTGTCTGTGTGATTCAGCCTTTTTTTTTTTTTTTTGCCTATGCAGTCGTATTTCTTTCTTTATTCTTGATTGCCGTTAAGAAGCACGCCCTTGTTGGCTTTTTTTTTTTTTTCACTTTCCTTGGGCTTGTGACAAAAATGAGATGTGAAATCACTGAGGTAGTACAGAGCAGTGAATCGGAGGAACACTGCAGTGTCAGCCAGGCCTGCTCCATTTGTTTTAAAGCTTTTTGGGTTTTGTAGACTCTGGACAAATTTGACCAGCTTGACTTTAAAGAAAGGGGGAAAAAAAGAGCCCTCATAAATGGCGATAATGTCTTTTGTAAGACATTGGATGGCATCAACTTGGTCACATCTTAAGGGTAAAATGCTTAATTAATGCATGAATGTGTAATTAGTAGGTACTTTCTGTTAAAACCAAAATGCTGGCTTTTTCAAACAGGTGCCATGTGATGCATTAGCTGTCTGTGTGATTGATTTTTTAGCTTTTCTGCGTGTCTTAGACAGAGAGAGCTTGAGTTTCCGCGTGTTCAGCCCACAGTGGCTATGCTTCACATGCAGCTTGACCAGTCGGAGCGCATTCTTCACTGCAGCACAACACGTCATCCAGAATTCTTCCAGGCAGACAGAACAAATCTTGCTGCAGAGACACTGATGACAACAAAAACCAGTCGCCTCTGACACACGGGTGTAATGTACAGCTGTTTAGGTTGGCCTGTACACTGTGTTACTACTGAAGTGCAGATCAGTTCATTTACTAGGGTGGTTCCTCAACAGAAGAGAAAAAAAAAATGTGTTTGGTTAGAGGTGAGCAGGAACAAGGAAGTGGTTTGCACTGAAATGTGTGATCACCCACCCTTTGTGGTGTTAACAATACATAAAGAGAGTGTGTTCTCAAACTAGAGTATTATTTATAATTTTTTACTGTGTTCAACTGTGGACAATAAGACATTTTAAGAACCTGCAGTATATTTCAACTATTGTGTGCCACAGCTTGGTCCATTTCTCTAAGAATCTAAAGTGACTTACAGCCAGAAATGTTCTTTTTATAGTACTTTTTTCTTAACTCCTGAAACACGGTGGTTGTTTTGAGACTGACACTGTGTCAGCCAGTGGTATTTGTCTTGAAACACATAATGTAAAGAAACAATTCTGATAAAAAATCCTTGAATTTTACGCTGAGCAGACATTTCAAAATTGAAATGTGCAGTTTTCAGTGCTCTACAGTAGGTTGAGTTTGTAATGGAGACACTGTAAATGTCGTTAAGCTTTGTAAGTTTGTCATATGCAAACATATATAGTAGATAAATCTTGACTGATATATTGGATTGGCTGATTTTAAATTCATCTACCCACATTGTTTTCTCTTTTAAGCACAAATATTGTACTTTTAAGCCAAATTTTAAGCGCTTCGTCAGCTTACTGAGGTTGGATCTTTGATATAACGTGGAGGTGTAGAGTTTGGGTGTTTAACACACGTGCCAGACAGTCCATCTCCTGTGTGTCATCTAAGAAGAAAGATGAAACTGTCTTTAAAACAGGCCATGACAAACGAGAGCATCCCTAATAACACATGACAAAACCAAAACTAATGGGGTTTGTCAATCTTAACCTCACAAAAGAACATTGTTCCAATTGGAGTTGCATTCCAAGATTGACATTACTCATCTACTGTGTGTTCTACGTGTGACTGCGTGTGCACTGAGGTATGCATAGTTTCTTGCGTTCAGTAGTACCTTGTTTGTGTGTGTGTGTGTACCTTTTGTACTTTTAAGTGTCTGTGGCTTTGTCTGGATTGAAACTCCACACCTTGTCCAGTATCCAACTGATGGTTTGACATTGTTGCCATAACACGCTTTGATTATATAAGATTGAGGTCACTCAGCAGGTATGCTGCAACATACCGGAGATTAAATGTCTGATCAATAGGAATGAAAGATCATCTGCAATTAGCCACGTCTGTGTTAGACAATCCTCCATTTCTAAACTGTTTATTACCTGCTTGTGTTCACATTCATACAACTCAGCTGCTTCGCACAGGATTATTAAATCTATATTCTATTTGCTTACACTTTCCATGAATAAAATATTTAAAGTCCTTTCTCTGTGTGCTTATGTGTGTGTCGGGGAGTGACTGACTATGTAAGGAGAGAGTGTGAAAGGTGAAGATGTAGTCACCATTTAAGGGAGCTGCTGAGCTGGTATTGTGTATTTGTATTTGGCAACATGTCCCAAGATGTGTGTGTGTGTGTGTGTAGTTCCAGCCTGGCAATGTATCAAACACTTCAGCCTAAATCCAGCTGTCCACCTTGTAAAGCGTGTGTTTTGTAATGGTTTCACAGAGCAGGATGAGCTCTCCAGGTCCTGGTGACATAACTTTATCAGTCAGAAAAGATAAGTTACAGCATTAAAAATCAGCTGATAAAAGTTTTATGGAGGGCACTTGTGCTGGCAGCTGAAATATCTATGGACAAGGTATAGTAATGCTTTCAGGCTTCCATGGAGGGCAACAATACTCCGATTCAAACATGTGGCATCCAGACTGTCACTGCTGTAGTCTCAGCCTAATTAACTATTATGAAAAGCATACTTGATTCATTTACTGCCCAGTTAAATTTACAGTTGTTTAACCCTCTGAACCGCAAGCAGTTTCTGGGCTTTGTTGCTCATTTTGCACTGGATTATAAAGTCCTGCACCTCTATGGAAACAGCACAACCATGGCGAGAAGTAGAGGGAATGCAAAAATGTTTATTTGTGCAGTGTGACAAAATGATAATTGTATAAATCCAAAAGAAGAAAAAAAACAATGTTGAGTTATTCTCAGTGCCCACTTGTTTTCCCAGTGTTGGAGAAAATGGTAACACTAGATTTTACACAATCTGGTCACTGCAAACGGCTTGTTTTTGCTCACTTTTTTTGATTACATACATAGAATAAATTGATTCAGTTACACATCACAATTTTGAGCTTTGATTTGGTCTTCTTATCAAATAGCACGCCATAGATGAGTAGTTCAAGGGCCGTTGTAAAGTTAAAAAGCCGATGATTCTGTCTGTTTTTACCGTTTCTGGCTCGGGTTTATTTTTTTTTTTTTTTAAATGTTAAAGTTAACATACCTTTCAAACCCTCTGGCACATCTTGCGGTTCAGAGGGTTTAAAGCATATACCTGTCAAAACCTGCTGCTGGCATTATATCCCACTTCTGAGAAAATAATAGCAGTGAGGCAATGTCGAGAATCCTCCTGATGAAGTGATCTATTCTTCCCGTTGCTTCATTTAATCCCAAAACAATCAGTTTTCAGATGTCAGTTGTATGCTTTTACTTTGTGCTCATACAGGAAGGGCCAAGTTGAAAATAATCATCTCTTCTCTCCTCTTCCTCAGATCATGATTGAGTTCTGCCCCGGAGGCGCTGTGGATGCCACAATGCTCGGTAGGTTTTTACTGTCTTTCCTTTCCCTTGCTGTGCATCTCTATTATTACTCCACCTTCCTGTCTGTCACAAGAGTCGGGTTCCACACCTGCGGCGGTGCTTCGACTACACCTGTGCCTTCAGCAGTGAGGGAGTGTATAGACATTGTATAACGTTCAAGCTACTATATGCTGCAGCGCTCCAGTACATACGTTGAAGAAACAAAAAAAAGTCTAGAAAACCAGCATTGCGCTTGCTCCAGTCGTGACCACATACTACAGCTATAACAGTCTGGCCTTGAATACCTTCGAGCACTCAGACATAGCGGAGTCCTCCGGTGTGGGAAACCCCCTGGTCTGTTTTCACTGGATAATCCACATCCTCATAACTGTCTGCGCCCCTCTGCAGCTAACACAACACAGGCAAAGTAGAATAAAGTCTACAGGGCAGGACTAGCTTGATGTGTAGAACTTTTTCTAATCTGGGATTACTTATCCAGCAACACTATCTGACCCTGATATCACAGGTTTGCCTTGTAGTGTTTTCTCTCGAGGAGTTCACACAGTAGTTCGGTTCTCAAGACTCTGCGATTGTATGTAGACTAAATATGCGATCTGCCATGTGTGCATTATTGCTGATTGAGCCGTCTCTGCCAGATTTCTCAGCTCTTACTTCAATTCTGCTTTTGTTCTCACTCACGTTCTTCCTCACATATTTTACTTTTCCATCTTGTCTCGTGCCTCTGCCTCTCTTGGCCTTATCAGAGTTGGACCGTGGGCTGACGGAGCCACAGATTAAGGTGGTTTGTCGCCAGATGTTGGAGGCTCTTGACTACCTCCACAGCATGAAGATCATCCACAGGGACCTGAAGGCCGGCAACATCCTCCTCATGCTCGACGGGGATATCAAACTGGGTGAGGCTTTGGTTTTAGGTGTTGTGATGCTCAAGGGTATACATTTTTAGCTTTCTAGAGATTATTCATTCATCATGTTGTCCAAGCACACATAAGTAGATGTACATAAATGCTACAAAGTGTGTTTCAACATTGAGAACCACAATATTTCACTCTAATACTAAATACTCATTGGGTTTGTTGGGTTTAAACTGTGACTCCGAAATATTCATTTTAAGTGTTCGACCTCTCAGAGGATTGAACAGATTATGGTGGCTAAAACCAGACCATATCCAGTTTCTGTCAAAGGAAAGTATTGCTAAAATGATGATTAATGTACCATGAAGAACAATACAAGATGTAAAAGACTTCTTTCAGTTTCTGTGTTTTGATGTATGTGCATTGGATCAAACCCAAAAGCAATAAATTCCCCTCAAAATCAAGAAAGGCAGGACTCCTGCATATGGATTGTCGTAAAACAAAACATGAGGTGTTAAAACCCATTTAATCTATTACAGAGAAAACGTTTCACTGCCAAGTGGTGCAAGTAGAACTAATGCTTGGATAAACTCCACATTCTCGTTGCATGTTGAAGGTTATCTCTGGAGCTCTGAGTCGTTGTATCTTTAGCATGCATGTATGCCACTCACACTCACTCAGCTCGAGGCCCTGCGCCCCTCCTGCGGCGCTGTCGGACGATCTTAAGGGAGCATTGTGTGGGAAAACTGCTTTCTGAGAATGTTGCATATTTTCATTTATTGGCTTTTTGAAGAGCCCTCCACATTCTTCACATTGCACAGCTGAAGTTGTGGATCCAACCCAAAGACCAGTGTGTTTTGGATCAAAGTGTAGCTTTCCTGAAAAGGGGAAACGGTGTTTAAATGTGTTTCATGTAAGTGCCAGTTAAGGAAGTGCTGATTTTTCTGAAAGGTTGCCCAACATTTGGATCCTCAGATATAAACCTTTAAACAACTTTCTTTTGAATACATGTTTCGCTTTTTCTGTTTGGCTCTCTGTCATGACCAACAAACCAAAAACACCAACCAGACAGTAACTTAAGTCTTGTTCACACATAGTTTTCAAAATGTTGCTTTTTCTATGTGTTTTGGCCTTTTGTCAACATAGCAACTGGTTTAAGGTCACCAAAAATGGACCTATTGGAAAAGTCCTTCCAGATTTTCAGAAACTCTTTTGCAGAAATGGAAACTTTTACAAACAATCATCAGTCACTGTATATCCTTACACCTCTACAACTAAACAACCAACCTTCTGCTTTCTATTTACACTGACACACTACGCCCAATGTAGGAGAATGATCATGTGATCTGCGCTGTTAGTACATTAGTATGGACAGAGATTATACATCTGAAATGTTCATAATAAAACAGCCTTTTAGTATTTAGTCTTACTGTGGCTGTAGCCTGACAGCTGCATGAGAGCATCGTATACGGGTGCTGAATCTTTGCAAACCTGACTATGCTTTTGCTCAGCTAAATTTGATTCCAAATTGTTTATTGGCTTTTGTTTTATCATCATTTCTCTTTCTTCTTTTTCTTAATTTCAAGTGACGCATTATGCCAGGCTCTGTGCTCACTGAGCTTGACTTGGTACTTCCCGTTACGATTCTTTTTTCCACTGCCTTAAATTCCTCCCTTACACGCCACAGTAAGATATAATCACTGGGAGTTGCCTCTCTAAACTCATTTTGTCATGACACGGACTCATTTACAGTCTCCAAACTTGTGTAACTACTTGTTAATTCAAACAAGACAGCAATTAGCTGTCTCTGAGGTCAGCAAGTTGCATCAAATCTGCCTATAGTACATGATCATGCAATTAAACTTTTTAAATCATGTTTTTAAAAGTCTTTCGTGACTCGATCTCCAAACATGTTCAGCAACTCAACCAGTTTCAGGAGATCCGTACGTGTACAGAAAGCAGACTGTTAATTACAACACTAAAAGCATTAAAAGATGAAAACACAGAAGTTATAACTGTTGTAGTCTGCTGGGATTCTCTGCTAATACACAATCATAATAGTTCTTCTAGAAAATAAAAGTGATTCTTTTGGTTAAACCAGGTGATACAGAAGATTTTACCAGAGGTGAAAACACTGAGAATCAACTGTATTCCTTTGAGTTTGCCAGAATATGTTACCAACTCTCAGAATACTGATGTAAAAACTATTTTTTTTTAATGTACAATAAAAGCAAATGTTACATTTATTGGCTCTGGAAGAAACAGAAGTCCTCCTTGCAAAAGTTTAGACTGCAACAGTTCAAATGAACGTTTGACTGGGAAATCAAAGAAATTCGAATTGTAGTCTGCAAAACCAAGAGAGCCATTTAAGTCCCCGTAATAGAACATGCCAGTTTGTAATTGAAGCAGCGAGCCTGCTGCCTTGTGTGCAAAATCTTCGGGCCTCTGCCAAACACTTCTCCACACCGGCCGTGCCACACATAATATTCCTTACTCACAGAGGGAAAACGTGTTCAGCCAAAATGAAAACAACACCCCTGTAATCTGAGGGTAATGTCAGGGAATTGGGGCAACTTGTTTGGGAGAGAGGACTGCTATAAATTCACTGATTCTGGCTTTGTGTCTCCGCCCATTGCAATGTCATGACAGATTTACAAGGTAAAAACTATGTGTCTCCTGCAGTACAAAGGGAAAATAAAGACGCACATTGTTTGAACTACTAGAAATACTGGATAATTTCTTTCAACTCTCTGATGTCCTTATGTTGATTTATTTCTGTCTTAATTCTTGCAGCTGATTTTGGTGTATCTGCAAAAAATACCAAAACCCTACAAAGAAGAGATTCGTTCATTGGAACGCCGTACTGGTAAGTAAGACATGAATGTTTTATTTTCTAAATTTTCAACTAGGAAATCATTTAAAACACCATTACCAGATGTCTGTTTTACATAATAGTAAAAGTAAGTGTTTGACTTGTAAGTAGACCAGTAGGTATTTGCTCTCATATAAAATTTAAAATGAACAGTTTAGATTTGCGTTTTTAAAAATACAGGCCCCACGGTAGGAACTCAGTGCAACAAAAGTCGGTGCTGGGATTCAAAAAGCAAATAAATTTTATTCAGTGCTTTGTTTATCCACCTTAATTTTTGATCAGTCTTCCTCGGCATGGAGGATACCAGTGGTGTGCAAATTTTTGGTCATATGTTTTTGCCATTCTTCAGAGACTTTGCCCTTTTTTGCTGGAGGGATCATGTTACTCTAACTTTCTCTTTAAAATGCCACAAAGGTGTTTTATTGAATTCCAGTCAGGCGACTTACTTGGCAAGGTCATAGCTTTCATTTCTTTATTCTTTTGAAATCCATTGTGTCATTCTGGCAGTGTGCTCCGGATCTTTATCACGGTGGAATATTCCTCTTCTGCCAAGCTTCTGCAGACTGGGAGTCGTCTTGTCAGCCAGTATTTTGTTATATTATTCACAGGCATTCATGGTTCCATCTATAAATGTCATCTCCCAACAACTTTTCCACTCATGCAGTCCCACATCATCCACACTCCCACCTCTGTGCTTCACTGTCGGGACTATACATTCACTGTGGTAGTTAGGGTCAGGTTCATGCCAGACATGCTGGACCCCATCTGAGCCGGATAAACTTATCTTGGTCTCATCTGACCAAAAAATGTGCTCCCAATACTCCTCAGGCTTCTTGTTGTATTCTTTTTTGTCAAGTTTGTTCTTGCAGTTTATAGAGAAGGCGAGGTTTTTTCTTTTCCTAGGATGCTGTCCATAGAGGTTCATGTTATGCAATTTGTTTTGCACCGTTCCAGCTCTCGTAGAAATGCTGATTTCCTTTAAAAATGCTCAGCACAGACTTATCAGTGGAAATCAGAGTGTAAAGCACTTTTCCGTTCTGTTTTCAGATTGTGCTGCTGTCAGTGGGGTTATTATAGGATGCCAGCCACTGTGGCTGTTATTTGTGATACTATGGCTCATTTTATATCTGCTGGTTCCATTTGCAGCTTGCAACTCTTTTTGACTTATATTTAATTGGTTACTGATCTTTTAGTTCCTCAGCAGTTTTTTCCACTTGGAGCCATGATGCAGACATGCAGTAAGACACAGCCTATAGGTCCAAAGTTGAAAAACATACGGGTGTTCAAAGGTTATTTTGTATGTGTTCATGCAATTAGTCCTACTGGAAATCGTGAACAGGTTTTAATTTGCTGAATTACCTGTTTTGAAGAAATAATCTATTTGTTGAGAGGTGATTTAATTTTGAGTCAGTGTACATCTTAAGTCATATTGCAGTAGGTTGTACTCATTTCTATTATATTCTGCACATCCATCCATCCATTATCTATACACCGCTTAATCCTCACTAGGGTCACGGGGGGGCTGGAGCCTATCCCAGCTGACTTAGGGTGAAGGCAGGGGACACCCTGGACAGGTCGCCAGTCCATTGCAGGGCTACACTTAAAGACAGGCAACCAAGGACACTCACATTCACACCTACGGACAATTTAGAATCACCAGTTAACCTCAACATGTTTTTGGACTGTGTGCGAGGAAGCCGGAGAACCCGGAGAGAACCAATGCTTCACAGGGAGAGCATGTAAACTCCATGCAGAAAGATCCCGGGTGTCCTCACCGGGATGCGAACCGGTGACCTTGCGGCAACAGTGCTAACCACTGAGCCACCTTGCAGCCCATATTCTGTACTTGACAAATCAAAACATTTCAATTCCTCGACACCACATTCTTTAAATCCAATATCACCATATGAAAGTCCTGCTTCTTGATTTGAAATATTGTCTGCAAATGTACTGTACTAATGCAACCTCCTAAACAGATATTTATTTTGATATTGTCCAGATAGAAAAATCTAAAAACTGTCAGCACAACACTCATCCCTACACGTACTGAATACTTAGTCCATTGTTGAAAGCTATTTTTTTCTCAACTCAGTGCCATTGTCACGACAGTGCACTCTCTATTTCTGAACTCTCTGGAAGGATTTCTCAGTGAACCTTGTTACATCACTTTATTCCCCTATATGAGTATGATTAGCAGCGGTTAACCATTGACTAGAACAAGTTATCATTCATCAGGAATACCCTCCCAGCCCATGAAGAACATGACTGTGCCCTTGTGTTGCAAAATACTGATTAGCTCTGGATAGAATGTTACAGACAGTTTTACTGTAAGCTTTTCCTGTGACTGTACTGATGAGCAAAGTCAACAAGAAAGAGTGAACTGCCACTAAAGTTCAGTATGGTCATCTTTTAGACTAATCTAAACACAGCATCAGTCTGTCTTTTCTTGTATTTATAGCAAAGATTGTGTTCTGTTCAGTTTCTTCACCTTTTTAGGGGGGAGGAGGGAAATAGAGTTAAAACATAGTGGGTGATATATAAATACTATACATTCAACACAAAGAAATGTTCAGTATCTGCCTCACGATGCATTTATGGAGCACTTTGTGTTCCACAATATGCAGTGGGCCCTTTAAATGTTTAACCTCTGTCTTGTGTCTGTCTCAGGATGGCTCCAGAGGTGGTGATGTGTGAGACGATGAAGGATGCGCCATACGACTACAAGGCTGACATCTGGTCTCTGGGAATCACCCTGATCGAGCTCGCACAGATTGAGCCTCCACACCACGAGCTCAACCCCATGAGGGTGCTACTGAAGATCGCCAAGTCTGAGCCTCCGGCCCTGGAGCAGCCGCATAAATGGTGCGGACGCATTAAACATTCATCTAAATTTAGCTTTCATACAAGTGGTCATCAACCGTGTAGATTAATTTGCAGAAGCTACCAGGAGAATGCAGGGATATGCTACCTAAGAGTAACCTGAAATTAAAAGCCAACGTACTGTACATGCAACTCCTTCGCACAATTCATTAGTTACAGCGTAGAGTACGCCAGGTTGAATCAGTGGGGTCTTATATCTTCCTGTCTAGCTCTCACCAGGTCATTTAATTCCATTCAGTACACTCAGTGTACTGTAATGTACTGTAGACGCTCCATGTATCAGACTGTCCTCCCCCTCTCCACCTGCCCTTTCCAAAACTACAGCAAAAACAGAGGCAGTGCTTAAGCCAGTGCCAAACTATTACTTTTTTTTCCTATCACTTTTATGGGAGTGAGTGTTCCATAACGGCAAATTTATTACTGCAAAAGCAAAGTTATCAGGTGTCTGAGAGGAGACCTGAGAGGGGGTGCTGACTCATCATTCAGGTTTAGCAGCTGTGTGCAAAGATGATCCACGTGTACCAACATAACATATTGAAATATGGTTGTGGAAATGATGGATTTTTGAAATGTTGTAACTGTTCCTTTACACCTCAATCCTACCCTTATACGTCTTATGTTCTATTTTTGTTTTTCTTCTCTTTACCCCCCCACAGGTCACCCGAGTTTAAAGATTTCCTGAAGAAATCTTTGGATAAAAACCCAGAGAGTCGCCCAACTGCAGTGCAACTCATGGAGGTAGGTTACATTCTAGAGGATATTACGCAACGCTGCACTCTGACATATGATCAAACATTGTCCTCTCTCCGTCTTTATCTCGCACTGACACACACATGCAGAGCAATTTAATCTTCTATTTTAAGACCTGAATGGGGCGATCTATGCCAGGGGAAGGGAGCAGTGCTCAGCAGAGGGCATGGGAGTGGGAAAAGAGTAGAAGGTGTACAAGAAATGGAGCAGGTGCATAAGGAGTAGGATTGTGTTAAAGAGTGAAAAAAGTTAAGTGAAAGCTAAAAAGGTGCAGTGAAGGATGGTGATGATTCAGAGCTTTTAGAAGCAGCCTCTGAGAAGGTTCAAATTTTTTTATTAAAGGGTCTTGGTCCTAAAAAAATCAGAGTGATCATTCTCACTTTTGGGATGTTTTCCAGCAAGTTCTTCTAAAATCAGGCTTGTGATACTAATCGGGAGGGACACCTCATATCTGCAAACAAGTGCACCAGGAATATACCTAAGGACAGACAGTTAATATCACACTGATAACTGAGGATGAGCTTGGACGTATGTTTCCAGAACTCCACAGTTCTGAGCAAGAAGGTCGAAGAAAAACAGCGCACAGGGTGTGGATTAAAGAACAAGAGTAGCGTCTATTAAAATTCAGAACCACGGTTTCCTGTCTGTATCCCACAGCTGAGAGAATGCCAGCTATTTACATTCCTGCTCCCAGCCAATGGTGCGCCTGGATCTCCCTGCGCTCGCCACCTCTGGCCAATTAGAGAGAGGCGGGGATGAAAATCCTAGACCCGGGCCCACTGGGAATTCTGCATGTGCTCTTCAGTTTGAGGGGGGGAGAGTTTGAGACGGGTGCGGTCCAGTTTTTGGTGCCGTGCTGGAAGTTTTAGATGTTTATCATGCCTGTAACGGCTGCAGATACTTGTGCAGTGATGGCATCAGATTCTTCTGTGCATGTCGAACGATGTGAGTTAACTGAAAGTTTCTATCAGCAAAAGTGTTGTAGGTTGGTTTGTTGAACTTTGTACTGTTGTTGTTTGCTGATGAAGTGCAGTTACTCAGAAGGGAGATTATAATGAATCATGGAAAAAAAATTTTTTGCTGAACTCTGAGGTGTGTTTAAAAAGAGGAAACAAAAGGACAAAGCCTCATGAAGTCTTCATCAGAGGGCTTTTCATAGAAAACAGGAAGCATTTATCAGTTTTATACCTCTTTCAGCCTCTGCGTCCTTCTTGCCTTCTGTCTGTCCCACATGTGTGCCTGCGAGGAATGTATACAAAACAACATGACACAGTATCAGTCACTGTGGCTGTGTGGTTGGCGGGACACCATCTGGATGACTAGTATTATAGCGAATGCAGCCTCTCCTCCCACATAGTTTCTCATGGTCAGGATTTTTTATGTTGTTTTTGGTGGAGCTTCCATCGTAAGTATCGGAGTAATCCTGTGACAGCACCAAGTAGTTCCCGTGAGGATTATACACAGCGAGGGACTTTTTCGGTGTAAAAAATATATAATTAAAAAGAAAAAAAAAGTGTGAGCACGTCGTGGTGAGACAGAAATCTCAGACTGATATTTCAAAATTTGGGTAAATAAAAGTCAAGTCAGTTTTATTTATGTAGACCGAAATTGCTACTTGCTCCAACCTCGATGCTTCCCAAACTTAACCTAAACCTAATTATAACCCTTAACCTCTGAACCACCCTTCAAAGACATGAGGACTGACCAAAATGTCCTCAGTGAAGGTCTAAAACTCACATTTATCTTGACAAACACGGACGCACGAAAATACACGCTCTCATCGCTACACAGGTAGCCCTGCTCTGTCAACCCCCCTGGGCCATATTGTTCACATTTAACCTTTTGACGCCCAGCCATGCGTGCCAAATCTTCAGCCTCTCTGGGTCTTAAGCAATGTGAAACCCTAAAAGAGGACGTAAGCTTCACTGAGCCACTGCTTGATCCACAGTGTCAGTAAAGAAAGGTTTAAAAAAAAATATGGCTAGTTTTAACAAGGTTTGCCTTTTTCTCCCTTTGATTTACCTCCAGGAAGCTGTGTTTAGCTTGTGCATGGGAGGTCTAATTTAATTTGTTAAAACAAATATTTTGAGGTCTCAGGTGTTCATGTACTTTAGGTATTTTATTTGCCTTAAGGCAGAATAGAGGAGACTGTATTTAGTTTCAATCCAGTAATGAATTTAACCTAGCAGTGTAGGTTTAGGTCAGTATCTTCCATAATCTAGGGCAACATCACTGCTGTACGCCTTTAATACTGAATAAAGGATAGTACTAGAGCTGCAGGGATTAGCTGATTAATTAATCTACAATTGAGTACAGTTTTATTAAACTTTTCCCACTAGTTTAAACCAACTCCATAGACTCCAGGATGTTGCAATGGGCATTTTTCAAAGTTTTATGATGCTTTAGAAACCAAACAATAGATCAGTCTTTAAATAACATATTAGGTCGAGTGTGCGATTCTAATCCAATACACTTCTCAAATCCAGCAAATGTCTTCATACTGTCTGTGAGCTCTAACTTCTGTGTATGCACACATGAAACAAACGCGTTTCAACACTATTCCAGCATTTCCATGTTCGTTCTCGTGCACAAGACAAGGGGAAAAGAGAGGAGTGAAGTAAAAAGCCAGTGAAAGTGAGAGTGACATTAAAGCTGGCACAAGATTTCTATATGCAAAATCTTTCTCCAAAATCATTGCATACTTCACCTTTAAATGATTGTAAAGGTAATCAATAGCTTGGAGCTCTAGATAGTACAAGGGTACTTTAAAAAAAGATCTTGACCTCAGTAGAAAATGTCATATGAGAAAGACTGTTCTCACATTACACATTAACATAGTCACCTTTAACTTTAATGCACTTCGTTCACTGATGTTCAGACCATCGCTTCCAAGGCCACATTTGGCTGCTTCTGCATCTGAAACCTTGTAGTTGTCACAGTTTCTATGCATATTAGCCCCTATTATTGGTGGGTCCCTTCTGCAAGAAGTCAATCTTGAGCAATCCCTCCCTGTCTCAAAACACACAAGCCATCATCTTGCTGACTGATTCTTGAACTTTTGGGAGGTGTAGAACTGGTGTGTTTCCATTGTTTGCCTTGTCATATAGTGATAGACAGTGATAGAAGGCTTTATAGTGTACACTAATGCCCCATAATGGGAGGTATGCCCCTTTTTTTCTGGGTGAGACAGAGAACTTTCTGAAATACCCTTGTACAGTTTTGGCTCTTGCATCAATGTCTAGTTACCAGTGCCGTTAATCGTGATGGTTATGTCTAATTAAAGAACAGGCTTCTTCATTTTCTTCCGAAACTGCATGACTCTTTACAGTGTTTTTTAGTTGAATGGCTGTGCTTGATTGTTTCTCATAGGGGACGAGTTGGGTTATTCATTTGTTTATGCCCTTATATGCATGTGTCCACTGCACCTGTCTCTTCTAACCATGTCAAATGGAACTTTTTGAGTATTATTGGAACATGCAGTGCAGCTGGAAATCCGGAACTCCTCAGCACATGTTCATCTCAATTGTGCCACCCATGTTTGTGTGGCTTCAACAATCTGTTGGCTGGTCACTTGGGAAGTGGTGGTGCGGTCGTTGGAATGTGAATCATTTCATTCGAACTGTTGAGTGTGTCTTTATTTAACCAGCGTGGCTGTCGTCCACAGCTCATGTCGCAATACAACAACCCTGCTGTTACTGAATAAAGAAAGCTGAGCGGGAATTATTTTTTTTATATGTAATAAATCTCATTGAATTTCCATTTCATGCTGGTTTTATTGTGCACATAAATTCCCCGTGTTCTACAGGACATTCTATTATGTGTTTGAACTCAAAACACAGTTAATTGCAGCAGTATTTCTGCAAAATTTAAAATCCCACCCAAACCCTATTTGACAGGCAAGTGGAAGAATAGCTTGTTTTGCATAAATGGAATTCAATAAGATAGAAAGGCATAGACCAATAAAAAGACATCCGAATGTAGACAGTGTACACACACAATGCAAAGACTTTTAAATTATAATTGCCTGTGGGTATAAAGCAGTTAAAAAACTTAATCAGGTTTCCATATTTCTGCTGACAAACAGTTAAATGGCACTCAGCAATAACAATACTCATTAGGCAATAGCTGACTGTTGTTTGCCACTGGAGAAGCTAAAAGCTGAAGCCTAATGCAGTCCACAAGGACAAGCCTCTGAACATAAAACAACTGCTATCACCCACAACAAATGCACACACACAGTCTTGTACACATTCATGGTCCAGCACCACTTGTGGCTCTTTCCCCTTCGTCAGCTGTTCCAATTAAATTACACAGTAGTGCAAAGCATCTAAATAATAGATGATCAGCCTTTTATCCCCGCTGCACTCAGCTTTTAATTTAGCTTTTTATTTCCTTTGCACTCAGCTCATTATTATTACCTTGTTTGCACTGCGGCAAACTCTCCTTCTTAGGTGCTGCTAGAACTAAAGATGCATTTTGCTATTTTGAGCCTATGATGTTAGATGTTACGTCTGCAGGAGAGTTGCATTGTGCGGCTGCTATTGTTGTTCAGGAACTGGCAGGTGGCAGATGGAGTTTCCCCAGCAGTGAAAGTTCCTTGTAGCCTTTGTCTCGCATTCCCGTGCTGACTCATGGGTAAATTAGGACACTTAGCTGCAATTACTTTTTTTTCTTTCTTTCTAGGATTATGTTTTATTGTGCAGCCTGCCTTCATTTCATGCCACTGGTGACCTCTTGAGCTGTCTTCTGTATTCACTGTGAAGGCAACATGCTGCAAGCTTGCATCCTCAAAATATGAAGCTTAAAGTTCATGTCTGTCTTTTTCTGGCTTTTTAAGCACCAGCCATTCTTCATGTCTTGTTTGATGCTTAACTGTCTTTTCCTCATTGTATCTGCAGCACCCTTTCGTGAGATCGGTGACGACCAACCGTCCGCTGAGAGAGCTGGTGGCCGAGGCCAAAGCTGAGGTCATGGAGGAAATAGAAGACAATAGAGAGGAAGGAGAGGAGGACGACGCCATGGAGCTCTCTGTGGTACCAAACCTAGATCCTTTTTTTTTTTTTTTTTCTTTTCTACTCCTTTAAATTCTTCTTTGTCATTGTTTGTTTCCAAAAAAAGAGAGCGGGCAGTCCAGTAGCTTTTCTGAAAGGAACTGTGGCTTCAGGCTGTTGGGTTGTAAAAGTACACGTGATATGATTTTACAACACAATAAATGAAACAGTGGATGCTGTGATTTAACCTCTACTAAAAATGACTGAGCTACATACACAAGTCAATGCATTTTTCAATTTTTTTTTTTCTCTTCCTGCTGTGTGGTCCTAAGAGGAAACCGATAAGTAAGAATTAGATAAAGGCCTTAATTTTAGTGTCAGCAGACGGTGTAATTAAGTTGAAACTCGTGCACTTAATCACACAAACGCATGCACCTACCTGCATGTGTACAAATCCCCCCCCAAAAGCACATAGATTGTGCTTTCCCTCACGTTTAAAGTCCTTGCTAGGTGACCCCTTCTCCAACATAGTCTTTTGGTAAACATAGCCTTCCTGCTGAAGGATTGATGGCCCATTCTGCAGAAGCCATTCACAAATCCACAGAGGACGTAAGATTAGAAAGTAACATAGCATGAGTACAGTTTACCGCCTGCCCTCGGCACAAACAAAGGAACAGAAACCGGAATACTGGCATTCGCCCACACCCACACATGGTTAAATATAGGTGCTGCTGTCGGCCTCGCTCCTGTATAGAAGCGACCGTTGCCTCACAACCCTTGATGGAGTAAATTATTTAAGGTCATTCATTGTTCTGCGGCTGTACTCTGACCCTTAAGTAAAAACAGATGGTTTCCAAACAGCTATAGAAGATCTGCAGAGCATCCTCATAACAGTCTCACTGTAAGGAAGCTGAAATTAGATAAACGCACTGATTATGGATGTTTTTCTTCCTGTGAAGATGAACATGTCCCTGCTTATCTCCTCGTCTCGCAGTGCCAACAGTTAGCATGAAAGCTTCTAAATTTATTAGTACAGTTTCAGAGTTCACCCCTAAATCCTCACATTTTGGCCACTTCTAAGCAGGGATTGAACAATGTGGGTTTTTCAGGGCTGATACCAATGGCAATTATTGGTAATCAAGAAAAACAGAGAGAACCGATATACATTGCATGTTATATTTTAACAGCATGTGATGGCAGTCAACCTGTCATTCATATCTAAGCTTCTTCACTAATAAGGGTTACCCTTGCTGAAAACGTACGCTAAGAACACTTTGTCTCCTCTTGTCCCGCACTTGCATTTACAGTTCTCTCTGTTTTGTTAATCTTAATTAGTTTTCTCATTTTATTGTCAACTAAGCCCTATAAATAAAGCATTATTCTTGTTTGTCAAACCCTGGTAGTCTGTGGCTGCGCTCTAACTTAACTGCTATCTGTTGGTGTAGCCTGAGCTGCTGTGAAAGCAGCTAATTTCCTGATTTGTAGTGATAGTTTGTGTTTGTTGTTCAGTTTTTGCAGGTTATGTGTCTGCTAGAGAGCACAGACTGACAGACGCTGCATCAGCCTTTGAATTTTATATTCAGTTAAAAAAACAAACAAAAAACCCCCCAGCAAAACCAATAATCAGCAAATTGCAAAGTATCAGCCTCTGATTCCACATTCCTGTGGTCATATTGCCAATGAAACAATGTAGGACTTGGGGTTACATTTCTGTAGACCATCTTCCTTATTTATACCATAAGAATGTTAAATGTAAAAAAAAAACCAAAAAAACAACTAAGTTCAATAGACAATGCATCTTGTGTGACCGCCCTTTAAAACAGCAACAGCGTACTCTGGTGCATACTGTCCTGGGTTCAGTCTTTTTGACTTTTTCTGCTTGTGGTCATTGTCATGCTACACAAAATGAACGTGGGACCAATTAGTTGGTATTGTAATCTGAATACTACTATCCAATCTGGCTTTAATTTAGCTGTTTATTGAAAAGAAAGCACCTGTTTTGCTGTGAAACTATTGTCTGGGAGTTTCCTTAAATGAAACTCTTTAGACAATGGGGGGTTTAGACACAATATGCAAAATGTATCATGAGCTGAGTCCATTACTACTGTGAATCATTAGCCAAAATATAATTTCTGTCGACATTTATTTACAAGGAAATCTTAAAATAATATATACATGCTTTTTTCTAAACAATAATTTCCTGTAAATAACCATAAATGGTCAAACAGATTACAATTCTACAGTTTCCTTTAGCAGACTCTTTTATCCAGACAAACATCCGAGAGTACATTAGATTCCTCATATCTGTACTTTGACAACTACGATACCACTACAGTTGATTTCTCATCTCTGTCAGCAAAGGCACTCTTGCTTGCACAAACAGAAAGTCCCGCTCGCTCGCTCGCATGCAGCAGCATTTTGACACATGCAGTTGCAAGGCGCTGAAAGCCAGCCAAGCAGTTACCCAACTATTTATCTTCTCCTATAGATCGCACACAGGCAGACACAGCTGTTTGCTGAGACGCTAGAGAGGCCGAACCTGATCATAAACTTGTCTGATGTTTTTGTTTACTTCTCAAGGAAGTGGTATCTCGAGATTCAGAATTGCTCAGTTTGACAGATAGCTGTGCATGTAATCATCTTCAGTGGTTTTTAGAACTACAGACTATCGAATTCTAGTCTGACACGTTCTCCAATTAGAATTAAAGTTGTTAAAATTGCCACTTTCTGTGAATTTATATCATTGCTGCTTAAACTGTACTTTCTCTTTTAGGATATCATGCAGTTTGTCATTTTCTTTGATGGTTTATGATTGATATTTAATTTTTCTTGATGGTTTTAGAGCACTTTCAATTTGTCTTTAGGATGCTTGTGATTTCTTATGAGTGTTTGGGGTTATTCAATATGTCTTTCCTGGATTTTTATGATTATGCTTTTGCATCAAAAAATGATGACAATACTCAAAGATCATTTCAATGTTATTAAATACACTTCATAAGTGTATATCATATCACCATATAGTGAAACGTGTACTGAAATGCATATTTTGTGGTATGAAATTGCTGCTAGAAGTCTTAAATGTAACTCTAAACACTAAAGATATGAAGCTTTAGTTAAAGAATAAGGAAGTGCACTCATTAATAATCACACATAATTCTTGCTCATGCCATTTAAAACACTCTGTGCCTTGCTGTTGGCTCTGATTCACACAGGCTTTTCACCTCTGTAATCATTAGTGTACTTACCTCAGATTAGATATCCATCTCCGCCACAGTTAAAAGTAGCATAAAGCAGGAATGGCTGCATTCCTGCTAAACCAAAGGTTAAAGTTACTCCTCTGAAGGTGGGAGGCCTGAATGACTTTATCCATTAGCAGTTGGACAAAAAGCAAAGGTTGAAAACATTAACATTTGGGAGGCCACCAATGACTCAAAGCCAAAAAAACATCAAATGTTTTGTCACACCAGTGCATAACAGCACCTCTTTGTCCCTTTAGTCTCCAAGCAAGGAGCCATGCCAGACTAGTCAGACCAGCCTGGAAGGAGACCATTCTCCGGACACCCCGAGCCCCACCACGCCATCCCCGACCACACCGATACCTTTCCCCAAGAAAGAGGCCGAGCCAGACACGCCGACGGAGGAGCGGCCGGGCCCCGACATGGTGGTCCCTGTTCCTTTGCCCCGACAGAATCTCCCACCAAAAGATCCAGAGGAGATGGGAGAGAAACTGGCCGATGAAGTCATTCTTGAGTCGGACAAATCTGAGAGTGAGGCCTCAACTAAGACTTCCAGTTCAGACTCGGGCATCGAGGATGGGAAGAGTACCCCTACACTGGAGGAGGAGAAGGTAAATTTAAACTTGAAATAAAATCCCATTTCTGCTGATGTGTACTCCTAAAGTATTGAACAATGCTAAATATCGTTTTTAAGGTTGCTGTGGAGACCCCAGAGACAGAACAGCCGCCATCTCTTCACCAGCCTGAGGCCTCAGAGGAACAAGTTGACATCATCATAGACTCTGCAGAACCTGAGGTGCCCAAAATCCAAGTGACGGAGGAAGAGAGCAACACTAAAGCTAATGGAGAGTCACCGGCTGCAAGCCCAAGTCCTGCTGTCACTCCTGCACCCAGTCCCACGCCCTCTTCTGCTCCTACCCCAGTGCCTGCACCCCGTTCTGGGCAAAATGGCACCCTACCCAAGGATGCTCCAGAGCGGATGTCGATAGGAGGAAACTCTGAGAGTGTCTCACCTTACATTAATGGAGGGATTATCAACAAACGGTACTCTTACTCGGGCAGCATGGCGTCTGAGAGCATGGACATGTCGATCCACAAGGAGAACATCATTTCTGCAAGGGTAAGTCGGCATACATCTAAAGTAATGTTTGAGCACCTCGAACTGTTCTGTGTAAATATTCCCTCAGTTTTTTTATTTAAATGCCGGGTAGCATAATCCAAATGGCAACAAATGATGTTTTGTTGATGCAAAAAAGATGAATGACCTCAGACATGTCCCTCATTCACTGAAGTGTTTCAGCAGAACACGCCTTTATGGTCAAATAGTTCAGTATGGAAGTGTTAAAGGCAAACAGAAGCAGGTCTCTGCCCCTGTAGGAAAGCCCCTCCTTGGAAAAACTATTTCTCTGCACACTTGGAGGAACTGAAAGTGCATTGTGTTATGTTTTGGGGTGTGGGTGTTAACCATCTGAAACAGAGGATTGCCTGTCTCCCATTAGACTCGCACTACACAGGGGGAACACACAGGAAGAACACAGAGAATGATACAAATCAGCATCCCTAAACACTGAGCTGTTCAGTTTTTGAATATGGATTTATTTAGTGAGTCTGGGATAGAAGACTGAGCTTAAAAACTGAGAATTATCTGAACACACAGAGGATAATTTATCTCATCTCAACAATCACCAAATTTGTGCCTGACAGCGCTACTGTAATGAGGGAGGGATGCTGGGAAGCTAGACGTTAGTATGTAACACTTTCCATTCATCGGGACCAGTGGTGCCCTTTGTGTGGGCACAGTTCAGCATTCACTATTGTGGATGGAAGTTTCTATGCAGCTCATTGTCACTCAGTTGCTTCTGGAGGCTCATGGACGGATCATTATTGAAATCCTATTGAGTGTGATCGACTCATGCCTGTTTGTGACATGTTAAGTTTTTCCAGAACAGATTAGCAGCGAGAGAATGCACCGTCTTTGTTGTTGTGGATAGGATCGGGTGTGTGTTTGCTGCACCACAGTGAATGACTGACTCGTGAATCCATCCATGTGTGCAGAAGAACTGGGTGTGTGTGTGTGCGATTTTTTTTTGTGAATGAAGGGTGATGGGAAGTCAACAGAGTCGGCCTCAAACACAAACAACACAGCTGAATATCCTTTGATGGTGGAGCTGGTGTGGAATTAATAATGCATCCAAACACACACACTTGGATTTATTGACTTTGTTAATGTGTCATTTCGTTAGAAAGGAAATCAACAGCACAGAACAGAACAAAAGTAGCATCCAGTAGCCGCCATTCGTGACAGGAGCCTCACGCAGACTCATATGGAGTGTGTTTGCTCAGCTGTGTTGGCTTCACTTTGTCACAGTGGACAGCAGTTCGCACAAACCACAATAATTCCCTCACTGCAGGGAGGAGAGCTTCCTTGCTTCTTTCTTTATCCCCTTCCTTCACCCTTTACTCTCCCTACACTTACCCTCGGCCTGCTCCTCTCCTCATATACAAGCTATTTATAAACCAGGAAATTATGACATCCAGGGTTTGAATGGCAGTGTTTGCCGAGTAAACTCTGCCATATCAGTTTGGTAAATATTGTCTGTGAAGGCTGATTTAGATAGCGAAGGCTGGAAATGTGACCATTTGATGTAACCACATGTTTGTCATAATAATTTTGCCTGTTCAATTAAAAGGAGGGGGTGACACTCTAATTCACTCTGCAAATATAGAGTGACATCACCGGACATTGTTTGATTGACCTGTGCTGTCTTCTTCATACCTACCGAATTAGAGAATTTGTTCAACTTCAATCTAGTTGCCAAAAACAAAAGGTCGTTCACCTCTTTTCTAAAGGCCCATGATCAGAAATAAACCTTGACTCGATTCCAGGAACTGGCAAAGTCTTTTAGATTAGAGGTTTTATTGGAAACATTGGTAAGGAAGGATTTTTTTCACACCCAGCGTTGTTGTAAAGAGTTAACAAAGGTTGAGAAGCCAGGTCACGTTGTGTCATATTTAGTGGATGAGGCCATGCTGTTGTTAGAGTTGCTTCCTGCATGACGTTGACAGATGGAGCATCTCGTTACAGTAAAACCTGACTGACGGGACAATTAACACATTTGTCAACACACGTACACACACACACACAGCTGCCTTCTTTTCACTAGTTAAAAACAATACATTGGGAATAACAAAGTTACACATATTTTGAAGGTGAAGGTTTTTAAGAAGGAGCTGAAGTCGGATGATTTCTGACTGACTGTTGAAAATGAACTAAATGTCTGGAGTTAGAAAGCAGTGAGCTCACCAGACCTCTGCTGGCATAACACACCAAAAAACTGTCAGTGGTCCCCTTGCATTGTGGGTAATATGGGTGCTAAATTTGGCAAGAAAAAAAAAACCCAAAACAAAACAATCTATGCTTTTGCTTGATTTTGATCCTTTTTTTTTTTTTTCATTTGTCTGATTAGTCTGGCAGTGGTATGAAAATGAAATTCTAAACAGGTGGATATTCCTGAACCTGCTTGTGCTTGTTAATTTCAGATTTAAATTGATCTAATTGCATCCTGTTTGGTGACCTTTGATCTTCTCTGTCTGCCCGTCAGGCCTTTTCAAGTAAGACTCTGAAGCGAACCAGGAAGTTTGTCATTGACGGTGTGGAAGTGAGTGTGACCACCTCCAAGATCATCAGGGACGATGAGAAGAAAGATGAGGAGATGAGATTCCTGAGGTATGTGGACGACTCTAAATATTTAGAATCAGTAGTTACCATCTAGATGAACAGATTTGTGTTTTTTTAGTGTCTCTATGTCTTGATTCTTATTTTTCCTTGAGATGTTTTCTTCAGTTTCTGTGCATGATTGCTGTAAACACAGACCAGAGGCTCTACTGTGATGAGTGGCTTGTTGGATGTTGCTTTATATAAGATATCTTGCTCCTTGGGGCTTGTGTCCTTTGGGATTAAAGTATACAAATAGCCAAACTGTTGCAGAAAAAAGACTAAATTGGTCTGTGCATTGAGGGAAAAATGAACGTCTCTGAAGACAATCAGTCAGACCGGGTGAAGACAATCTTATCTCTCTTTGGTGCGGGGAATCCAAAATATTCCAAATGAAGGATTAATGTTTCATTCTTGCTGTCCAGTGACAGAAGTGTTTAAATGAGCACTGAGGATAGTCTTAAACACGCTAGAGTGTCTTTGAAGCCCTGGAGAGTTCTTGCGCATTGCTCCTGTCATCTAGTGGTGAGAATATGAAACTGCACCAATAGTCTGACCAGTAGTAGCAGCAGCTGGCTTTTGCAGATGATTTCAGGAGAAAAATCCTTCTAAAGACATGCATACTCTACTGAGCTAATAAATATATATCCCATTCTTTCCATCAGCCAATCAGTGCAGTTAATGCTCGGTCTACATAGAGATTTTGTTTTATGTAGTTGTCTATATGATCTAATCATTTCACTTTCAACTCTTCCGTTTTTTGTTTTTTTTTTCCTGGTATTGCGGTCTTCTTATCTAACTCTACTCATCGTAACAAAGCCCCAACAAGGAATACCTGCTCAGTTAACTTGGATAGCAGTTGCAGCACATCCAACCACTTACCTGAACATTTCACTTCAGTCCGATTAGATGCTTCTGTGATGTTTTGCTTTTCAAAATAAATGCCAACAGCGTTTCCCTCCTCTGCACCCCTCAGCTGTATATAAAATCCCAACATGTCCCTTCAGAGGGGGAGAGAAAAGAAAGCATTTCTGACATTACTACAAATCTTTTTTTTTTTTCCACCAAAAGGGATGATCAGTTTCCATTTCAATTGTTATTCTATGTGTGACTTGGTACCACAGAATTCTCACTGGTATTAATGTTACTTGTTTGAGGAGTTATATCCATATATAAATGTGTTAAAAACAATGACGTGCGTGTGTTCAGACGTCAGGAGCTGCGTGAGCTTCGTTTGCTGCAGAAGGAAGAGCACCGCGCTCAGGCTGTGCTGAACACCAAACTGGAAACCCAGAGAGAGCAAATGCAAAGGCGCTTTGACCAGGAGATGCATGTAAGTGACAGCCACACACAATAAGTCGCCGCTTTCATGAGCACAACCTAAAAATGTCATGCAACCCACCAGCTACGCGCATGAGAGAAAGATGTTGCTTGAACAGGATCAGGGTGTAGTTTTAGTCGTATGTAATATGATTGCTACATGTCAGTGGTGGGATACAAAATAACCGTGTGCTTGTTTCCTGTTGGTGTGTCCCAGGCCAAGAAGAAGCACTACGACATAGAGCTAGAGAACCTGGAGAAGAACCAGAAACAAACTATTGAGAAAATGGAGACGGACCACAACTTGAAGCTGAAAGACGAGACGAAACGCATCAAAGCGGAGCAGGAACGAGACCACCGCAAGTTCCAGGACCTGTTAAAGAACAAGAAGAAGGAGGTACAGTTGTGTGAAATAACCTACCAGTTTAATCTTCTTGCTTTAGTTCAAGTCCAGAGAAATCATAATAGAATGTGGTAAAATCAAGACTGCACAGTTACATGCATAGTGTATGTCCATCTTCATATACATTTGCTTAATTTCTGATGTGTACGAGCTTTTAGTCATAAAACGTGTCTTCTTCAGGTAAAACACTCTGTTGATAAGCTGCCCAGAAGTCAGCGCAAAGAATCCTTAAAACAGAGGATGAATTCCTTCCACGAAAGTAAGATCAGAGAGGTACGTGAACAATCATTAAGTCTCCTTATATTTTCATGACTGGTGCACCCAGAGCAGGCAAACATATTCCATCATTCTCATCGATGAGCCACTTTAAACCTTATTGATTGTCTTTTTCCTCTTGTCTGTCTCTTTCCTTTGGTTTAGGAGGAGATTTTCTTGTCAGGTCAGAAGAACTATCTGGACACGACGCTGAAGAGAATCATCTTCAACAACAAGAGAGAGATTGCAAATATGGAGACGGAATGCCTTGACAGGAAACAGCATCTAATCAGAGGTACAGTGTCTGTCAATGATGACCCTGAAGTCTTGTTGTTCTTATCCCATCGCTGCTGGAGTGGGAGGTTACACGTGTGCAGGAATGACAACGTTGCATTTTAATAACTTTGAACAGAGCGCGAGGCTACGATATGGGACATGGAGGAGAAGAACCTTTATGAGAGACACCAGTTATTGAAGCAGCAGCTGAAAGACCAGTACTTCCTCCAGAGACATCAGCTTCTAAAGAAACACGAGAAGGTAAATTAGTGGCTCGCGTGACTGCGTGACAGAATCAAGAATGTATTCTCACTGGATTTTCCACCATTTCATGCTCCGTCGTTAAACCATTAGCTCTTCTTTGTGTGTTTTCTGTGTCGCTGCAGGAGCAGGAGCAGATGCAGTGCTACAACCAGCGCATGATTGAGATCCTGAAAGCTCGGCAGCAGCAGGAGAAGAGCCGGCTGCCGAAGATTCAGCGCAGCGAGGCGAAGACTCGTATGGCCATGTTCAAAAAGAGCCTCCGCATCAACTCTACAGGCAGCGCCTCCGAGGACAGAGAGAAGATCAAACAGGTAGAGAAGAGGAACGTTCCCTCACTTCATATTAAAGCACGAGGTTAATCATTCAGTAGCTCAATCCCTTTGTGGCTCTTTAGTTTTCCCAGCAGGAGGAGAAGCGGCAGAAGGGCGAGCGGCTGCATCAGCAGCAGAAACACGAGAACCAGATGAGGGAGATGGTCGGTCAGTGCGAGAGCAACATCAGAGACCTGCAGCAGCTGCAGGTGAGCGCCCTCCCATCTGTCGCACGTTACTTTTCTGTTCTTCATGTCACTCCAGTTTTTTGGGTTTGTCTCAAAACTGTATGAAAGTTTTGAAGGCAAGTAGACACTAGTGGACAACAACCAGCCAGCACTTGCTGACAGGAGTTTGTTTTGTGCTCCAGAATGAAAAGTGTCACCTGCTGATTGAGAACGAGACTCAGAGGCTCAAGCATTTGGATGAGCAACACAACCAGCTGCTGAAGGACTGGAGGGACCAGCTGAAGCCCAGAAAGAAGGTACGCGTTTCCTAACACAATTTGTTATACAGATCACATTTTAAAGTCGACTCTGTGGCCCTCACACGCAAAAATACCCTCATTACATATATGATGTATATAAAACATGCAATGAAAATTCCTCAAGTGCTTAAGCAAACATTTAGAATCTGAAATAAAACTGCCATGTTTACCATGTGGAATAATGCATTTGATTGCTTCTGCATAGTGTCCAGTGTCAGCCTCCAGTTACACGAACCGATGGGTGACTCATAAAAAAAAAAAGCTAGCTAGATAAAGGAATTGCTCCTCAGTTTTGGGGAATGTGCGTACTTGCTGTCATGCTGATAACACTCTGATTTATGCATTAAAGCGGGAACAAGAGCTGGTGGTTATTAGCTTGAAGTTTGGACTTATAAACTCCTCTAAAACTCCTCCTTTGTGTAATCTTGACACAAAAAAGTGAAAATAGCAGGTTATCACTGTGCTATCTCTTGACAAACAGCAGACAGGATCAGGGACTTTTGTTTTTTTTTTCCTGTCTTAATGCTAAGCTAGGCTAATCACTTCTAGCTCAAGATCGATGGTATCAATCTTCTTATTCTACTTTTGACCATTCAAAAATGGCTAAAAAAGCAAAAAAAAAGCCCCAACAACAAATAAGCAGATTTGCCCTCATATTTAAATATTTTTCTTTTCAGTTAGACATGTGTAGAATGACACATATCAAAGAGTCTCAGTCCTCACCTTTTGGTGTTTTCTCATGTTGTAATAATGTTTCCATCTTGATGAGGTAATCTTACACATATGTTGTGTTTCGTCCTCCTAGGCCCTTGAAGATGAGCTGAACACCAAGAAGAGAGAGCAGGAGGCTTTCTTCAGGATGAGTGAGAGTTCTGATTGCCCCAATCCCAGTTCTCCCCATAAACTCTCCAAGTTCATGCCTTACCACGAATCTTCCACCACATAAAAAAACAAACAAAAAAAACCAAACAGATGCTGTGACGCTGCACAATACTTCCTGCCCACTGATAGAAGCAACACATAGACACCCACGGGTGCTCCAGTTGCCCGCTGCCTCAGTTTTAATTTGCTTTACCAGTAATGGCAGCGTACCTATCCCTCCATTAGGCTTCTTTATCATTTTAGTGAATATTTATGTTTTAACTCATGTTTTAACTCCTGTTTTGAGGATTTTCTTTAAAAAAATGTTTTTGTACTATTAGATCAGCTTCACAGAACTCACCTAATATCTGTTTCCATACAGTGTCTTTATTTCCTTTTTCTGTTCAAATGTGTTTATCGCTCAAACATGACAATAACATGATGTAGTGGTTAATGATTTAGGTGAGCTGAAGACACCAAATTAAATATCAGTTTTAATGAGTAAATATTAAGTATCTTATGTTTGGAACCAGTAGTCATTTCTTTTTGCATAACAAGAAGGAATGCTATGAATAGTGATAAGCCAGTAACTAAGCACTTTTCGTTGACCCCAAATGATCAGTTCTGACTTCCAAATATGACCAAAAAAATGCTAAAAATGAAAGAATTCCTTTTGTTTTTTCCTCATTTCTCTATGCCTTGGGTAGATGCCTGTTTTGTCCACTGGGTTTGGTGCATGTCACATAGCTGCCAATGTCTGCCTTTATTTATTTTTACTGACAAAGAACAACAATATCCAGATTTATCACTGTAAATGTTAATTTAAATATTTTCTTTCTTTCTTTATCCAACACCCATGGTATGAAGGATGTGCTTATCACTCTGTATCTTTTCCTTTATGAAATGGGGTTGAAATCCAAAGGTATTAGAACTGAATGATTTCTTTTAAATGACTATTTAGGAGGTGGATTTTAACAAACAAGGGACGACTAATTGTTTTTCATGTGTTGCTGTCATTTTCTGTTGTATTTTCTTTTTTTTTTTTGTTACTGTAAAATCAGTCACACTGGATGGGATCTGACAAAGCCAAAGCAAAATACTGTTGTGTTTATTTGAAGGATGTTATATGGGGGATTTAAATCTGGATTTAAAAAATGTATTAAGTGTATAATTGTGCAGTAAATGAACTGCCTGCTAACCAATGTGCAATATTACATGTATGTCTTTGCTAAGCTTAAAGAGGTTTATTTTTTTTCTTCAACTTTGCCTTCCTTTGCACTGAGAGGGGGAATAATACAAAGAGTTCAGCTCCAAAAACAGATGTATCGGTCTTTTTGGAAGAAACATTACTGGTTAAAAATGATTCAAACTTTTGGNTTTTTTCCTCATTTCTCTATGCCTTGGGTAGATGCCTGTTTTGTCCACTGGGTTTGGTGCATGTCACATAGCTGCCAATGTCTGCCTTTATTTATTTTTACTGACAAAGAACAACAATATCCAGATTTATCACTGTAAATGTTCATTTAAATATTTTCTTTCTTTCTTTATCCAACACCCATGGTATGAAGGATGTGCTTATCACTCTGTATCTTTTCCTTTATGAAATGGGGTTGAAATCCAAAGGTATTAGAACTGAATGATTTCTTTTAAATGACTATTTAGGAGGTGGATTTTAACTTAAAGAGGTTTATTTTTTTTTCTTGAACTTTGCCTTCCTTTGCACTGAGAGGGGGAATAATACGAAGAGTTCAGCTCCAAAAACAGATGTATCGGTCTTTTTGGAAGAAACATTACTGGTTAAAAATGATTCAAACTTTTGGATTTTTATTACTTAAGAAGCAATAAATGAGTATTTTAATTTGTCACGCGATGATCTCGTTTTGGAACGTAACTCTTCGTAGCATTTTTAAGGGGATGCAACAATTCAGTCTGCTGTACGATGCCTCCAAATGTTTAATCTTCAACTGAAACCTTAAGTTTGCAGCTGAGGGTCCCGTTGCCTTGTTGAGTGAGATCAAGTGTTTTTATAGAGTAGCTTGGCCGGCAGTTTTAATGGGGTCAGCAATCAGGTACAACTTAGTCTCTCTCTCCCTCTCTCACAGTCTTATCTCGGAAGTATTTAAATTTATTTTAAATTTTTTTTTCTTTTCCGCTCCATCGATGTCTTCCTCTCTGCCTCAGTTTACATAACATTATTTGTGTGGAGGGCTTGTGAGTATGAATGAAACTGTATCAGAAGGAACCACTGTTGTAAATAACTCCTAATAAATGCAGATTTTCTAATTACTTGATCGTCGTCAAGACTCTTTGTAATAATAGTGCCATGTTATGAAGACATCAATATTTTTGAAGTAATTCCAATTTGGATAACAAGATTTGCAGAAAAATAAAAATCAGGGCACCAGTTTGGTCATTCTGTACTTTGGAAGAAAAGAAAGAGAAGGATCACCTGTGCATTACGGTAAGTTTCATCCAGTACTTTGATGTAACATTCTGTCATTCTATTGGGAACTTAATGTTGTTATATAATGTCTTAACTGTAGTGCTGGTTACTGGTTCCTGTGGCAACTTGGCGCTTAAAGTTTTGAAGTTGCAGCTGTGCTATTCAGAGGTTGGTCACCATAAACTCTTTTTAATTTTAACATCCTGAAGACGCAGAGCAGCAAAAGCATTTATATTACCTCTGTTCACCTCACAATTATGTGTGGAATTTCTCTCCTTTAATTTTTGTTTTCATCTTCTGAGTTTAAAAAAAAAAAAAAAAGTGCTGGGATTCTAATCTAACACAGCAAATACACTGATTATGTCTTCATGCTGTGCTAGCTGTCTGTCAATGGGAAAGGAAGGGAAATCGAGGTAAGACGGCAATGGGAACAAGAAAGACTGAACCTGGCACACGCTGTTGAAACATGCCAACTAACTCAACATCCGCCATCTTTCTATAGAATCGCAAACTCCACCTTTAACTTTGAAACCACTATGTTCCCAAGCAAACTGCGAACTCTGTTTGATTTGGTTTGCCAAACACAATAGAATTAAAGGGAATGGCAGATTGAGACACAGCGTGACATCTGAAGTGAAAAATCAGAAACTTTTATTGACTTAAAGCAAAAGCAGACTCATTGTAATGAAAAATACATAGCAAAAAAAGTAAATAGTTTACAATACTGAAATAACAACACCATTTTAACCCATACATTTGCCTTGTACTGTCTGTACCTTCCTGCCCATGTTCACATAAAACACACCAGAACAATGCGATTTTAGGCATATTTTAAATTGTTTCTCTTTTCTCCCCCCACTAGTTGGTAACATACTGTTATTTTCTGTGTAAAATATGACTGGAAGGTGGTGTAAGATTATAGCAACTAGAAGCAGAACAGAATCAGTGTTACAGCTTGTAGCCTTGTCTCATTATATCCAGAACCACAGACATACATTGTTTCTTTACTTTAGGATTATTAGTTATTTTGTAAACCTAACACTTAATGAAGAAAAAAATCCTGGACCACTTGATGTGAAATTAGCAGCCAGTTGTTTCACATACCTTTCTTGAGTGATCTGCTTTTCATTTATCTCTTGACAGAAATAGAAATCCTCTGTATTCCCATACCTCAACCATCCAGATTCCTTCCTGAACATTTTGTTTTTTTTACCCCTTCTAAAAAGTATATAGGAAAAAGAAAAGAACAACTAAATAAAAGATGGATCATTAAAGAAAAGCGACAACAGTTAAGATATGACTCTCATTACTGTACAATAAAAATAATTTGCTATACTGACCATGCTTGAGACCAGTCAAGCATTATTGTAAAACATTATTTTTATACAATGGTCATTCTTTGTTGTTATTTGAGCACCAAACTTCGGTTAAGAACAGAATGTACACTTACAATACTGTAAATCATTGCACAAATCACTGTAGAGCTTTAATTTGTATGGTCAGATGTGCTCTGCAATTCACATTTTACAAATGAATTTTTGTGTGAGATAACATGATTATGTTAACATATATAGAGACCTGGAGCTTTTGCTCGACATCTCGGTTTGGATAATCTAGCCTCATCTTTATATATTGTCGATTGAGGTGGATATTTTGTTATAGTGACGATTAAAAAAAACAAACAAACAAAAAAAAAACATGACAAATGCACCGTGGCATTCTTCCCCTTTCCTTCAGTGTGTGCAAACCTTAAAATTTACCTCAACTGACTTGACTGAAAGTGCACATCTGTTACAAGTGACTGCAACATTAATTATGCAGTCACTGAAGAAAAGCATTACAATAGCAGGAAAAAAACAAAACAAAAAACAATATGCATATTTCTAGTATAACAAACAGCACTTCTACTTGACAAAGACATATCTTGTAGTATCTGCTAAAAGCACTTGAAAGCCCAGATGTAGTCAATGAACTCCCCCAGAGAGTTCATGTGCAGTCTTTATCTACGGGATTAGGGTTTGTTTTTCTCTACTGCTGGGGAGAGACTGGCAGGATTTGAACATCTAGTCTATACTCCTTTGATGTAGATACTTGATTTTTTTGTCAAATGATTTCAAGATTCCAACAACGACTATGTCTACAGTTGCATACAGTTTATTAAGCACTGAAGCAATTTGCATAAAATATTGAGGCACTATATCATAAAAGGCAAGGGTGTGGATACATTTACTGCTTTTCTAGTGTCTAGCCTGAGTAATGGCACGACTGACACAGGCTGTGACGAGCATATGGCAACAGAAGGAAGTAACATTTTACCTAAGAGTTCGTATAATATCTATTAAAAACAAAAATAGGTAAACATCACAAAACCCAACAAGGTCATGTGTTATTGCTGGTTCAGTTGGTAGGTAGAATATTTTTTATTTTTTATCAAAATTAAACATAAGAAAACATCAATAAAAAAAGGTACCTATAAATAAAACAATGCTAAGTAGCAAGAAACTAGTGATATTTTGTTCATTTAAATCCTTATTTTCCTCCTTTTTTTTTTGTTTTTTTGATATGGTGATATTTGAGAGCATGTTCACTACCTAAGGTTTCTTGCTCAGGTAATTCGAGGGGATCCAGCCCTCGGCTTCTTCTCCTACATTTTTACAGAACCACCAGCCACTGCTGTTTTTTTCCAGGACCTCAAACACTGTACCCACCTTGAAGGCAGATGTTTGCTCATCCCCTTCAAAGTCTGCAACCGCTAGATACAGCTCATCCTTACTGGGCTCCTTGAGTAAAGGTGGGAGCTTGTCCTTGGGCGGTCCAGGCTTCTCACTCTTCAGCTGGGGCTTGGGAGGAATCGGGACTTTATTTACTTTGGGCTCTTCTTTTTCTTTGTTTGGAGGTGGTTGAACAAACCCTTTGGGTTTTGGGGGAGGGGGTCTGCTGAGTGGTGGTGGTCCAACCTTGGGAACGTCCTGGGCTTCTTTTAGAGCAGGTGGAGGTTTGGGTTCGGTTGGGCTTGATGGGTCGGTTTTCTTTGGAGGAGGAGGTCTCCTTGGAGCCATGGCAGGAGGTCTCTGAGGAGGTTCCTTGTGGGGAGGAACTGCTGGTTTTGCAGGTGGTGATGAACTCTCGTGGCTATGACCATTAATGTGTTTTGGGGGGAGTTTCGGCTCATCGGAGTACTTACCATTATTGAGAGTTGGGATATGGATCGGGGGAGAACTTGGGGGGGAACTTGGGTGGGAACTGTTTACTGCTGCTGAGCTGTCATTCTGATGGTTCACCTCTGCTGATGCAGAACCGAGATCAGCTGGTTTTGATGGCCTCAACTTGCTTCTCAGGTTAGTAATGTCCAGTTTGTTCTCTGCTGGGGGATCTGGCTTGGCAGCCGGCACAGGTTTAGGTCGGAGAACTGGCTTGGGCTTCATCAACACTGCTGGGCCAGCTGCCTCTGGTTTCTCTTCCTGCACCTCTGGCTTGGGTTTTGGTGGCTGTTTAGGTACAGGTTTCAGATTAAACTTCTTCACCTCTTTGGCAGAAACCTTGTGGCCACATTCAAGACCCATCTCATTCCGAAGGTGAAGAGCTTTGCTCTTATCTTCTTTCTTGGACTCTGGGGGTTTGTCAGGTTTGAAGGGGGCTGCCTTGGGTGGCAGTGGCATAATGACCCCAGGACCTGGGGGTTTTGGGGGCAAAGGCTTGGAATGGTCAGGTCTTGGTTTCTCTGCCACTTCCAGTTCAAAGCTCTTATTGATGGACTCCCTTCGAGGTGGCAGAGCTGGTTTCTCCTCAACTGGAGGGGCAGCTGGGGCTGGGGGCAAAGGCCCAGAGAATGCAGAGGCACCTTTGCTGGCATTGGACTTCCAATCTCTCAGCTTAGGCCGGGCGCAGGACTCGGGAGCTGTGGTTGGCTCATCTGGTAAAGGCTTAGACCAGCTGTCATCTGAAGCATTGGATGAACCATCATTTTCCAGCCTCAGCTTCTCCATCTCATTGGGCAGCGGGGCAAGGAAATTGGGTCGAAGAGCATTACTGGTCTTCTTGTACTTGTCGATAAAGGTGGCAGGTGCCCAGCCTTCTTTCTCATCTATCTGAATGTACCACCAACCACTTGCATTCTTCTCTATCACCTAGTAGGCAAAAAAAAAGGTACTTTAAGGTTTTAAACTTTCACAGAAGAAATGAATAGATAACATTTACATACCTTTATTCAAAACCAATGTTTCACTAATTTTTCATGCTTTATTGTAATGCAACTTTAGGCAGTGCTTAACCCACCTCGACTTTGACTCCAGCTTGGAAGCTGATGCCATCAGGGATGGTGGTCTGAAAGTCGGCTATGGTGTAGAACTCTTCCTCAACCTGAGGAGGAATGGGTGGCTTTGGTAGGTTTGCACCACGTGGCTGAGGGAGGTGAAACACATGAATACACGTTTAGTAGCTGAAAACTTTTTTTCTTGTGAAAAACTGAGAGTTATGTTGTGATAAAATGTAAAATCTTACAATGGTAAGATCTCTGCGTGGAGGAGGTCTGTGTCTCGATCCTATTTCTGTGGAGGGAAAAGACATGAATGAGTTCCTCTTGCTTACATAATTGTGACACTAAAGCACATGCATATTTTGTCAAGTTCACTTACTGCTTTTGCTATCAGAGAAAAATGAGAGCCTGTTTTCTTTCTGGCTGTTGTCTCGGTTCTCTTTAGCTGCGTTGTTTTGCTGGTTTTGTTTAGAAAACCCGTCTAGGTCGTTCGTACTGGCATGAGCAGAAGCGCCTGCTGACTGCTTCTGGATCTGAATGTCAGTCTTCTTTAGGTAGGAGGCTGGGGCCCAGCCCTCACGGCCCTGGTACCTGAATGAAGGAGAGATTCAGTGGATTTATCGGAGGTATACTGAACACAAACTATAAGGTAGACTTCCCCGCAGTCTGTACAAGGATATAAACTAATTTAGGAGTTCTTCTTTATTATTATTAAAAAGTGCAGCGTGGGTTCTCTCCGGGTTCTCCTGCTTCCTCCCACAAGGTCCAAAAACATGTTGAGGTTAATTGGTGATTCTAAATTATCCATAAGTGTGAATGTGAGTGTGCTTGGTTGTCTGTCTCCAAGTGTGGCCCTGTGATAGACTGGCGACCTGTCCAGGGTGTCCCCTGCCTTCGCCCTAAGTCAGCACCCCCGCGACCCTAGTGAGGATTAAGCGGTGTATAGATAATGGATGGATGGATGGCTCCATTAAATATGTGGGCACTTAGAAGGGCATGGATTTCATTGTATTATATAACAAAATGTCAACACACATGGTATTTCTATTGTATTTTAAAGATGGATGGCACAAGCACAATTGTCACACAAATATTCCACATTAGTTAGTCTATAAGATTTGACTCTGGGAAGGCCATTGAAGCACTTAGTGTTGTTTTGTTCTGTCTAGATGTCTACACTGATGGCATCGCTTGCAATTTAATCACACTGTACACCCATAAATGTGAGTCAAAATTTATTTTTCTAATCTGAGTCTATTTTCCTGCATCCTAACTGCTTGAACACATTTAATGTAGAGACATACGGAACACCAGAACTGTGTAAGACCTAGATTATCTCCTGAGCACAATGCTCTTTCAACAAACAGCTGGTGTACTTTGGATCATCATCCTTGTGAAAGAGCTACTTGCTTTGTTGTTGCTTCAATCAGTTTTTTTGACTGATTTCTTTAAGTTGGCATCCAAATTCCTGCCTACTTTTAAGCCTTTCTATAAATAACATAGCTGCTTCTATGCTTTATTCTGCCCTTAGTTTAGTCTCAGAATTCTGCATACAAGCTTTCTTTCACCAGATCCATGGATATGAAATATGGACTCCAAAAAAATGACATACGTCTCAAAAATCTGTCATCTTTCTGCACATGTTCTCATGGAAATTTATGATTGCATATATATCTTATCCACATCTCATTTAAGTTTTGCTGCTTTTCCCTTCAATCTAATCTTTATGTGTATAATGTAGCTGTCTTATGAATATCCGTAATATACTCGTAACATATTACATTAAGGATGGACATGTTGTAATAGGTTAATCATTTTTGGTTGCATGTGTTAATGCTTCTGCACGAGTCAACCTTTTTTATTTTAGGGAAAAATATTTGCTTTGAAATATGCAAACACATTTTTCTAATAGATAAGAAAACAGAAAATGAAATTACCTTTTGAATGTCATGGAAGCTTGCTGGTAGTTTAATTGTTCAAATACTTTTTAGGGCCACAGTGTAATAGCCCATGCAGCATTTTAGGCTGATGATATGAACTTCAAAAATGTGGACCAGAATATCAAAGTGAGATAATGTTACAGATTTAAATTACCTGATCTTCCACCAGCCTTCCAGATTCTTCTGAATGACCTCGACCACCATGCCTCTCTCCAGGTCAATTTCATCCTGGTCCCTGGCCGAGTACGGGTAAATCACTGAATACTTCTCTTCTGGAGTTGGAAAAAGAAAATATTGTTAAATTTAAGACAATGTCTGTTTTGAAGATTATGTGTATTTGTTCACAAACAGGGTAGCACAAATAAAAACTAATGTAGGGCTGGGGAGGCAAAGCACACAGTGACACTTTTAATAACAATCACTTGAAGTGTTTCAGAGTTAAAGTTGCGAGCTGTAGCTGTCCTTAAATTCAAACTAGAGCAGACGTAAGACAGTGTGATTTTTTTTATTTAGGACTTATTCGATTTTTATTGTTATTATTATTATTTTAAATTGTTGGTATGCACTAAAAATATCAACAACCTTGGAATGAAAAAGTTGAAAAACCTCCCTCCATGACCGTCTTCTTGTGTGACTTAGGATAAAATGCTGTAGTTTCTACAGACATACACACTAACTTATTTAATGAGGCAAGGCTTGAGCAGCATCTTGTGGAGTAAGAAGACATAAGATACAAATGTGGAACACACAAAACACACAGACATCCTACACAAGTACTGACAGAACAAACTTGTTACTGCACAAGAAATGCAGTCACTTCTATGTTTCGTTTTTTCCCTCATTATTTCTACTATTATTATGTGCTACAGACATTCTATGTAATACTACTAATAGTGAACAATCAAGTGTTTATTAATACTGGTTAATTGAAATGGACATATTTTTCTTATGTACAAATTCACATCCATTTTGCATGCAAGGATTTAATTTACATGCTTGGGTCCCTCGTGCAATACACATTTCATGCATACACATGGACAAACATGCACACAATCGTGTATGCATGTGCGAAAACACACACACACACACACACACACACACACACACACACACACATTCAGTATAGGGGGGAAAAGAAAGGCGTGCGCTCCACCTTGCCCAAAGCCTGTGCTGAATAGATCCCCTAAAGTTCTGCGACGACCCACGTGCCTTGGCAGTGACCAGAACCTCCGAGGCACTGACATCCCAGCACAGTAATTGGGGCAAAATAGGAAGTGAACATTACATATGCCATCTGGAGGATGTTTTCATCCGAAATGAAAGCATTTTTAAAATTGACGAACCTCGTAGTACTTGTGCTTGTTCATGTACTAACAAATAACGTCTTACACCCCTTTCTTACATTTTTCTAACCATAGTATTTCAGCTTTTATCCATTCCTGCATGCACTATTTCTTTCTGTTGGGATCCCTTTCCAAGCTCAAACCCAGTGTGCTGTCATTACCAGGAAGTGAGTGACACCACTGCACCAGAAGAAATTTGTAACTTGGTCTTATGTTATAGACCACAAATCACTTTTAATTCTGAGCCCTGAGCTTTGACTGGCACTGTTTAATTAAATTGTACTCATTAGCGGGACATTTGGAAAAGTTAATGCCAATTAGCAACCTTGCTATGTTTTATCATGCATGTGCTCAACTGCCAATTTATAGTTCTATACTGTATTTCTATAAATCTGTGATAATGTCAGTAAATGTGGATGTTAGATGTGGTTGACTTGTCCAACAAGGACAGGGCAGCCAGCCCAGTGTCTACTTTTAAACCAAATACCCCTCAGGCTCAAGTCCTGAAATATAGTCTGTAATTTTATAGAGTGGCACCGACCATGTGCTGTACAATATCATTACAGAATCATACAATCTCATTCTTTTAACATATATATTGGATATTTTTATTGCAGTCAGTTTATGCCAGAGATATCAATTTATTTTCTTTATCAGTTTGTTCAGGTTTTATCTTTATGACCTGCATTAATAAGAAGTCAAGTCTTTAAACATATTTGAATTACTGTTCTTAAGGGTAACACACATACAGAGCCTTGGAATCAACACACATTCGCTCCAATCTACACATCACTGATCAGTTGACTACTGTGTGAGGTACTGGAGTGTAATGATGTGTACAAAATGTGTTGCACTTTAGAAGGCAATGAAAAGACAACAGCACAAATTAGTTTGTCAAAACTGCATTCAAGTACAGTTGAATTCCTAGACACGCACATTAATCCAGCGTGTCAGAAATAAAGTTCACTTGGAGTTTAGTGTAGCAAGAAATATTTGATGTTTTTTTTTACATCCTTAGCTTTTTTTTTTTTATTGGTATATTAAATCTAAAAAAATAGTACCCAGATGTAAATATGTATGTACCTTCTTCCCCGGGGATTGTGAAGTCATCAGGATCATCTTGTGCCTCAAGGCAGGTGGCAGGAACCCAGCCCTGAGCGTCTTCTGAGCTCACAAACCACCACCCTGAATAAGCAGAATATAAACATGTTGCTGGAATCTTGAGCGAAATCTACTCAATTTAGGGATTTTTTTGAAAATACGTTGCCAACATGTGGGACTTATTCTCGGCACAGTATCCTGAAAGCTGTGTACAACTTACCCGACTCATTTTTCTCAATGACCTCCACCACTTGGCCCACGTGCAGGCTGATCTCAGAGCTCTCCTGCTTTTCATAGTCTGTTACTGCCACGTACTGGTCGAGAAGGAGAGGGTCTGCTGAGGTGGAATCTCCTGTTAAAGGGAGAAAAAAAAAATCAAACAGAAGTTAATCTAGCTCTTTCTTTCTGCCCCTGTCTACGGCAGGTTAAGAAAGAAATCTCAATAATGTGAAAGAAAAGCCTCCTCTCACTATCTTCTGCTATTCACTGAAGATCTTCGGCAATATTTGCTAATGTGATATTAAAGGAATATCCACAAACTTGGAATCATGACAGAGCATTTGTGTGCTTTTGAGGTATTGACCTTTAAAAGTTTTGTATCTCATTGACTAAATGGCCTTTTTCAAATGTCAGGTTTCATACAGACTTTCACTAATTATCCAATTTAAGCACAGTCTTTATACAACAGCCCAAATCCATCTGTCAAGGTGCAATAAGTGAACAACTCATTTTTGATCAAATGCCAAGAATAATTCCAAGGTCACAATTTGCGCAAAAGCTATTAAGTAAAAAGGTTTTAGTGAGAGGAGGCTTCATCTACAGTATGGAGAATCATCCAGACATGAGGCAAAGGAGGCAGCGTACGTGATTGGAAAGATGGCGTGAAGGAAACAATGAGCTGACAGAGGAATAGAGGGAGTTTTGGAGTGAATGGGAAGGATTGGAAAAGAGTAGGGGGTTAATTTATTCATCAACATAGCTGGGACCTCACCATAGAAAATAAACAGTCGCACCACTAAGACCCACCACCAATGTTAGCGTCTAATCAGCACGAGAAAAATCCTCTTTACCACATGAAGGCTCACTATACCACCGCTAAGAAAGGCTCATTCATCATTGTTCTGTAGAAATCACTAGAATAAACTCTGACAAACGCAATCAACTTTAAATAAAAAACAGCAAACGAAATACCTTTTGGTTGACACATGGCGTGTTGAGATTAACAACGTTCAAACCTTTGCATTAAGGGAAACATAGCGAGGGGAGATTAACATTCGGCACACATCTGCAGATCACTGAAGGTGCTGTTGGACACATTTTTGGAACAAATGTGTATTTGTGGCAGACATAAACTGACTAAAAAAAGGAAGAAAAGTTGAGCATTAAGTGTGTAACATGAAAATGGAATGGAATATTCCACTCATTTGGATCTTAGAGCAGCTTAAAACACCACAGCTTGTATTTCCATGCACATCCTTCAGTGAGCTGCAGCAAGCTGGAGGAAATGGGTCTGATCAACAGCTGAATTTATATCACTTAACTTGTAGCAGATTCTCAATTTGAATATTAGCAGCGTAAATATTTCTCAAGAGCAGAACTGGAGGGAAAACTAACAAACTTGTTAGCCAATTTAATAAAAACGTATTTATGAAACTACAATCTATTAAAGATGAGACGGCTGAAATTCATATTAATTGACGACAATTAGAAACATACTGGCATAACTTCGCTTTTAAAAGAGTTGCTTTTCCGTGTCCTAGTCATTTTTAATGCAAGACAGACAAAATTTGATTTCCTCTTTGGTTTCAACCACTTACCTCTACCTCTAGAGATCTTTATTTGAAGCTTTTTAGCATAATCTTCCTTATTTTGTCAGGCCAAGCTTACACTACATGGCCCTAATGCATTCACAGCATACAGAGAATCTCCCTCATGTACGTGCACGGTTACAAACTCAACCAATATCTACACCCTTGTCTACTCTGTCACAACACAACATCGAGACAGATACGAGCCTCGTGGATCCTCAAAATAACCAACTACTTGCTTCCTTTACAGAACCAATGCAAGCCCCAAGCCTTCAACAGAGCCACATCCCACCTGCCCAGGCCAGGGGAGGAGAGGGGGAACAGGCCGCTAGCAACCCGCCGGATTACACACACAGCACGACCAAGCATGACAGTGTGTTTACTACCTCGCTTTAGGAAAGTAGTCGCTCTCTCCACAAACCCTGAGGGAAAGGAAAATGAATGGAGAAGAAAACTGAAAAAATAAAATGGATGCAAAATAAGAACAAAAGATGAATTGAGAGGATATAGGGTGTATAAAAAAGAAACAGAAAAACAATGTTTAAGGTAGTTTCTTTGTTACCAGTATCGTAACAGTCAACTCCAGGAAAACATTCAAGACAGTGTGTATAACAGAATATGAATATTCTTTAACCTGTGTAAAACTCTGTGGCCACTAGATGGAGATAAGGTCATATTATAGACTACAGAGGACTTATGAAAAGAAG